GGTAACTGTTACGTCGTACAAGATGTTCATCTTCAGAGGTTACGGATTTTTCTATCTCAAAAACTCGTAAATATCCAGAAACCACTATCCACTCTTTTCACCAGGCACTTTTTCAACAGATTCCAGACAAACTGTGTATTGTCTAAGAGCGAAAGACAAGATGGTTTTAAAAACATTTTCCTGACGTGCTGTTCATCAACAGAACTTACGAATTTCTTCTTTTAAAAAAATTCGTAAATGTTTAGAAATTGTCTAACTTTCCGAAACAAATGTTCTCGCATGCACATCTTCTATGATAATTCCAAAAACAGGCAGGGTGATATAAAAAAGGAAAAGGAAATGTTAAAAAAGTACGAGGTGCTTGTCAGAAATATAATTGTGTGCTAATCCAGCAGCACATCGCTTCACATTTCAGAAAAAAATAATCAGTGATGGTAAGGAATAAACTATGAACTCTGACTAGGAAAAATGATAAAAAAACACCATAGCTCCCCCCTCGACATTTTATAAATTCTCTACCAAGTGAAACACCCTTCACCCTGAAGGGGCTGCGACCACTGTGACCCCCTTCACCCTGGAGGAGTCATTCTCACCTTATCGCACCTGTGCTTGTAGAGCTTTCTTTGCTCTATGCAATAGTACCCTTCGCTTATTTTTTTGGATTTGTCTCATGGCTTTGCTATGAAAAACGACATTATTTTCTTGACAACCTGATACATGACCTTACAACATCATGAGCTGCAACCAGAGGTGCGATAGTTGGAGCCGAGTCTCCGCCTACCTTCACTTTTGAGCTGATGCCGGGTGACCACCTTCACTTTTGGGTTTGAAAAAAATTTTTTGCTGAAGGTTAAAAGAAGGAAAATGAGCAAAAGGAACGCAAAAGAAAGTATTGAGAGCATATATCCATGTAGTAGGTCAATCTAGGCAGTAACCGCAGAGAACCAGTATTTCGAATGACAAAGTAGCGAAAAATCGTGCGAAATTTCCACTGTAATAAATCTGGTGGTTGAAGATGTCAGCAATTGCGACTTCATAGGTTTTCAAGGGCAAGTGTTGTTCTACCAGATAGTGAAAGAATCTGGTCGATTTGAGCAGTGGCCGCCGAGAACGAGAATTTTAAAAAATTAAGCGATTTCAGGTTACTTAGTGACAGCTGACGTTTAAACTCCTATAAATCTGGAATGTGAAGGTGTGCAATGTTGCGACTTCATAGGTTTAGTAGAGCAAAAATTTCTCCATCGGATTATGTCTTAGCAGTACCGATCTATTGAGATAGCGCCGAGATTCAAGGTCTTGAAAAAGCAGGTAAAAAACCGCTTTTTGAATAACAGCTCATAACTTCTTCAGAATTGCATGAATCATGTTGCGACTTCATGGGTTAGATTCTTCCTATCAAGAGCTTTCAGATGATATATAATAGTTGGGGGGTTCAATGATTTTTGCGGCTCTAACCCAGGGTGGAGACTTTTCAGCCCAAAGTCTCCACCTCGCCCATGTTAATGTATTGGCCGGAGACCGCCAGTGGAGACTTTGGGGTGAAAAGTCTCCACCCCCGGGCATATGCCGTGAGAGGCGCGAAACCCCCACATATTATATATCATCTGAAAGCTCTTGATGAGAAGAATCTAACCTATGAAGTCGCAACATGATTCCTGCAATTCTGAAGAAGTTATGAGCTGTTAAAGTTCAAAAAGCGGTTTTTTACCTGCTTTTTCAAGACCTTGAATCTCGGCGCTATCTCAATAGATCGGTACTGCTAAGACATAATCCGATGGAGAAATTTTTGCTCTACTAAACCTATGAAGTCGCAACATTGCTCACCTTCACATTCCAGATTTATAGGAGTTTAAACGTCAGCTGTCACTAAGTAACATAAAATCGCTTAATTTTTTAAAATTCTCGTTCTCGGCGGCCACTGCTCAAATCGACCAGATTCTTTCACTATCTGGTAGAACAACACTTGCCCTCAAAAACCTATGAAGTCGCAATTGCTGACATCTTCAACTACCAGATATATAACAGTGGAAATTTTGCATGATTTTACGTTATTTTATTATTCGAAATTCTGGTTCTCGGTGGTTACTGCCTGGATCGACCTACTTTATTCGCAATACGTTATAACAAAATTTACTTAATAAAATACGTAAAGTCTAACTGGGTTTTACTTACAAATAGACCATTTGAATAACACGTTTATTTCTTTTTTATTTTTATGCCGCTGTACTCATCGTATTTGTGGCCCTAAAGAGGGCCGTTAGGTCACACTTGTTGGCCCTCAAGGAGACCGTTGGGTCAGAGTTCTTCAATTATCCGAAGTCCCTCCCCCCCCCCCCCGCTCGACGTTTCTGAGAGGTGAGTGTCCGGCACTACCACCTTCACATTTGGCCGGCCAGTGGTAGCTGGAACCACCTTCACTTTTGGGGGGCCCGGCTCCACCTATCGCACCTCTGGCTGCAACCTTACATATTGCATCATAAGATTGCGACGATGGCTGCAAGCAACGATTATGCAGTTTCACAATGGCATTTTCTTGACTTCATCTCTAATCGCTTTTTTGCTCCCGTAGAATAGTTTTCAGATACTGGAAAGTGAATGGATGAGCATCAAAGTGATGTCTCCTGTTGAGTGTTCTACGGTCTTGTAAGAGCGCAAAGACCACGTTGTTGTCACTATTTTATGAAGATTCCATGCAACAGCCACAACTTGAGAGTGATCATCCGTGCGTATAGGACATCCACGTCGGTGCACGGTTCCGTGAGTGCAGGTACAGTAAATTTCAACTCAGTGGTCCGCCTCGCAACTGTTCGCGCCGCTTCGCAGCTATACCTCACATCGTGCCAAGAGCCCAGATTTGCGTCTTTTCATTCTCCTTAGTCTTTGCTTGGTAAAGTGCCAGTGCCGTGCGCTCCCAAAGCGTCCTGCGATGCGGATGCGCTGCTCCACTTAGATGCTTCACCTATGGGGGGTTGAAACATACTGTAAACAGACTCGCATTGGATTTCGAGTGTTTAAGGACGTGTCATACAGCACAATTCTTCGAAAAATCCACACTAACTCATGAGGAGTGACTCGGCAAAACTACTAGGTCGTTCCATGAGTTGTAGACTTTTCACAAAAAAAACGAAATGACAAATTTTTGTCAAAATTCAGTCGATAATGTATTTTCCGCTGTTGTGCACCGCCTTACCGTTACCGCCATACCGTTAAATTTTCAGCTTTGTTTTTTCCGAAACTCAGCAGGTCTGGTCCCAAAAAGCCGGCTAACCAGCGCATGAGATTGTCTCGAAAAATGGAACAAGCACCGTTCAAGCGACTGAAATTGAGAGGGACAAATAATGACCTGGTGGGACGAGGTCTGAGGGTACATCGGATACTGACATTTCTCTCAAGTCTTGCAAAACAGCTTTGACCAAGTTTGCCGTACGAAGCCATATGCTGTCGCGCAGAAAACTGTTTGGACCTGTCTTTTGGGTCATTTTTGCAGTGGTGATTCGTTTGGATGATGCAGTTCGGTTGCGTACGATATGGTCAACTGTTTTGTTCTTCTCTAGCAATTTCCAGTGCAGAACCTCCTGCCCGTTCTAAAAAAGTCTCGTTCAGGGCAGACCATGTAAAATCTTGGTGAGGCTGCAGTCTGACTCCTTTTTATCTCATACTGACAAAAAAGCGCCATTTTTATAATCGGCAAGAAAAAAATTTACGCAAAAACACTTTCTCCGTAGGAAAAAGTTACCGAATGTTGAAAATGCCTCTTTTTGTCTTTTGAAAATTCCACTTATGGAACCCGAGAAATCGAAGCGGGCCGGCTTTGCTCCGAAACCAATAGGTTCATTATAAAGAGCATGAATCTCTTTTCAACGATAAGCGCTTCTTGTTGCAACTCAACCGCCATCCAGAGAAATAAGGACGAGGAGGGAAACGCTACATATGGAACGACCTAATACATACTCAGAAAATCCGATTTTGTCGGGTTGGTTACCATAAACGTGAAAGCAAGTGAACAAGTTCACTCGTGGGCTTTGGATGTGCTGTTTCTCACGCTCTCTAATACAGATTCGGGAAAGCGCTGTGGGTAACCTCAGACAAGTGAGAATTTTCTAATCGAGCTTTGCCAAGCCGCTGCCTTCATAGCTTCCACGAGCGATTCGAAATAGGAAGAATTAGCGTAGAAGCAATCTGTTATAGAATGAGCCTAGAGAGAGGGAAGGACAAAGGAACCTCACACTTCGCCGAAAAAAAACCAAAAGCACCCAAAGAAGCCTAAAAGAGCTCAAAAGAGCCCAAAAAAGCCCGAAAAAGCCCGAAAGCGCCAGAAGGAGCCGGAACGCAGAAACGAACTTTTAACGGAATTCTGACATTACTTTGTCGTGCAAACGACAGAAAATGAACCAAAAAGACTCGGTTGCGAAATCAACACACATGTTTTGGCGCCAAAACGTGGGAGAAGTGTCGGCTCTTTCTGGCGCTTCTGGGCTTTTTGGGCTTTTCCGTGATTTCCTAGGCTTTTTCGGGCTTTTTTGGGCTTTTTGGGTTTTCTTGCGCTTTTTCCGGCTTTTCCGAGCTTCTTTGGGCTTTTTTCGGCGAAGTATGACGGGTTCCAAAAACATGCACGAGCAGAAAGGTAAGCAGGAGTTTCTCATGTAATTGGATGTTCCAACATCCACAGACAAAGGTAGACAGGCAGTTTTATCATTGCAAATAGGAAGCGACCGTAGTTCCTCCTTATAGGTCCTGGCACGAATCCCGCGAGACCATGGCCATTGGTCTTCGATTTTGAATGTAAAAATCAAGCTTTTATTTGTTTACTTCAAGTATACGTCAGTTTCATTCATGTCAACCACTGCATTCAGAGTGTTCTAAAATGATACATCAAATTGTGTGTGTGCGGGTTTCTCTGTCATTATGTGCGATCACAAACACAGCAATGGTCATTTTTTTCCTGAGCAGTTGATGTTTGGCGATTTTTGCCCGATTTGATCGCATTATCTTTTTTCCTCTTTTTTTTTCATCCGATAATCTATTTAAGATGGCTCCGAGCACTCGACAAGCTGAAAATGAAGCCACCTACGGTTTCGTATTTGGAGTATCTGGACCTGGTGCGTTGATTTCACAAAGTCTAATGTAAAACTAGTGCTATATATAGTTGTAGTACGTATTCAACAAGTCCGGTTTGTGTGACACATTCTTATTTTTTGGTCATCCCTTATCGATACTTTCAGTGGTCACAGCCGAAAAAATGGCCGGCTCTGCCATGTACGAACTTGTGCGTGTGGGGCACGGTGAATTAGTGGGAGAGATCATCCGTCTCGAAGGAGACTATGCCACTATTCAAGTATATGAGGAAACTTGTGAGCTTTTATGACAGTTTTGCTTTTTTAATGTTGTTTAATTATGGAAACAGTCATATTGTTACTTGCTATCGAGCTTATGACTGTAGATTTTTTTTCCTCATTCGCATTTTGAGCGAAGTTCTCTTTGATTTGTGGAAAGCGCTTTCTGAAGCTAACACATTTCAATGAATTCCGTTTACTGTCTCTGGTCAGCAGAGGCCAAAAATCAAAATCGCTGCGCGCTCCGAATTGGTCTCATGCCAACGCGCATGTCTGAGTCTCTGGCTGAAACGTGCTAACTCGCGCTCTCGTAAATCGCTGCTCAGTATTTGGAATACGTATCCCACTGCAGTAGTTGCCTGTACTACGAATACATTGAGTTGGTATTTAAATTTTGGAGAACAATGAATTGTGCTGTGAAGAGTTTTGCGAAAGCTTGGAAGCGATGCGTTTATGTTCCGGAAAATGTGGCACTACAGGGTGTCCCAAAAGTAAGTACACACTTTTCAATCGCCAATATCTCTCTTCCCAATGGGTCTTTTTTCGCCATTCAAGTACCATTCTGTAGAGGAGGCTTCAACTTTTACAGGGTCGATCGCCCTTCGTTACTGTGGGATTACAGTAAGAACTTCGAGCATGTGGAATCAATGAGAAATATGCAATCTGACAAAATCTTTTTTCAAAAAATCTGAAAAATTGTGTAAAAAGGTTTTCGCGCACGGTGATTCCAAAACATAACTTTTTACGAGTGTTTTCAGCTTTTTTGACGGTGTAATCACATTTCTGACAAATACTGGGAAGTCGTTTATTACGGTTTACCTGGGAGAACTTTGGAAAGAAACATCAAAGTAAAGTGGAAAATTCATATTCGAAAACATCGGCTTCCACAACCATAGCACAAGGGTTTTTGGCTTGTTTGGTTTTGTTCCAAGGCAGAATATGGGTTCCAATGGCCTAAAATGCTTGTCGAAGTTCCTACAGTAATGAAGAGCGACCGGTGATTCGCTCGGTACATAAAATCTAAGTTGAAGCGTCTTCTACAGAATGGTTCTTGAAGCTCTGAAAAAGACGCAATGGGAAGAGAAATATAATATTAACGATTGAAAAGTGTGTTCTTACTTTTGGGACACCCTGTATAAGCTGACTAGCTTCGGGTTGTTTCAGACTGCAGTTGCTGCAGCAGCGACAGTCAATCAATCAATATCTTTTACTCGCCTCGTTATGGCTGCAGTTAGTGCAGCGACTGCAGTATGAAACAACTCTTCCAGCTGTTAGTAGTTGCGTTTCTTTTCTTCTGGAAGTGATTTTCAAGGGGTATGCCTGTTAGCCCGGCTAAACTTTTTTGATTCTAAAAAGAGCAAACTCAGAATGCGTAGAACGAAGACATGAAATGGGCAAATTCTTGATTATGTCTTTTAGCTGCTGTAACAATTGGCGATCCAGTGTTGCGTACCGGGAAGCCACTTTCTGTTGAACTTGGGCCTGGTATTATGGGTTCCATTTTTGATGGTATCCAACGTCCACTCAAAGACATCGCGGATATGACCCAGTCCATCTACATACCGAAGGGTTTGTACGAACAAGCTATCTATCCCTCAGTTTGGATCTCATCTTGGTCTCTCGTGCACCGATGACAATCTTCCAAAATTTACTGTTGTAGGTGTATCTACCAAAGCCCTATCTCGTGAGGCGCGATGGGATTTCACTGTCAACAAGAATGTGTTCGTTGGAGCGCACGTTACTGGTTGGTGGGATAACAAAATTGTTCTGCTAATGAGTGTTCTCTAAGGTGGTGACGAAATCGGATCTGTGCATGAAAACTTGCTGATCAAGCACAAAATCATGCTTCCGCCTAATTCTTGCGGTACTGTGACTTATGTCGTTCCATCCGGACAGTACACAGTCGAGGTAGGAAAAAGTAATCTTCCTGATAGCTTTCTTGTGCGAATGATGTGCAACATTAGGATGTCCTCTTGGAAGTTGAATTTGCCGGACGCAAAGAAAAGTTTACTATGCTGCAAATCTGGCCTGTGCGAAGCCCTCGTCCATGTGCAGAAAAGGTACACAACACATTTTTTATTTCACTCTTACATGTATCTTTTCAAGTTGGCTGCTAACAATCCCCTTCTGTGTGGGCAGCGTGTTCTCGATGCTCTCTTCCCGTGCGTTCAGGGAGGAACCACTGCTATACCTGGTTCGTATCGTATGGTCAAGTTTAAACAAAGTTGTCTTTAGGATACTATGGATTTTAGGTGCTTTTGGGTGCGGTAAAACTGTCATCTCTCAGTCTTTGTCCAAATACTCTAACTCGGATGCCATCATCTACGTAGGATGTGGAGAGCGTGGAAACGAAATGTCTGAGGTAAGTATCGCTTATCGACACCCTTTAACAGACGTTCTCTCCTCATTACCAGTTCTTCATATTAATTATCTATCATTTTTAGGTACTTCGTGATTTCCCAGAGCTCACTATGGAGGTTGATGGAGTTACCACATCTATCATGAAGCGTACAGCTCTTGTCGCTAATACCTCAAATATGCCCGTAGCTGCTCGTGAAGCTTCTATCTACACTGGTGAGTTCACAGTATGCTAGGTTCATTTGTTAAAAAGGTGCATACAATACATCACCGCAGGTATCACTCTTGCCGAATATTTCCGTGACATGGGCTTGAACGTGGCTATGATGGCTGACTCGACATCTCGTTGGGCTGAAGCTCTTCGTGAAATTTCTGGTGAGGATGTACTTCCGCGTAGAACTTAGTCATAACTTGCAGTATTAATCTTTTGATCTTTCAAGGACGTTTGGGAGAAATGCCTGCCGATTCCGGTTATCCTGCATATCTCGCAGCGCGTTTGGCATCGTTCTACGAGCGTGCTGGTAAAGTTAAATGTCTTGGAAACCCAGAACGTGAGGGTTCGGTCACAATTGTTGGAGCGTAAGTGCATAATCGTGCATGTCTTTGATTTTTGAGACTTACGGACTTCTAGGGTATCGCCTCCTGGTGGAGATTTCGCTGATCCTGTCACATCCGCAACTCTTGGTATTGTGCAAGTATTCTGGGGACTGGACAAGAAGCTTGCTCAACGGAAGCACTTCCCTTCAATCAACTGGTTGATCTCTTACAGGTTTGTGATCATTTTGAGAATTTGATCATCAATAACGGCGAAGTGTGAATTCAATTGTAATTTTTCAAATACTATACAGTGCTTTGATATCTCTAGTGAGTGGTAATCGTGCACAATGTTTGACTACCGCCCTCATTTGGTGACATTGTGAACACGGACAAACCGCCATCTACGATGGCTAGCTCTTCTGTATCTATTTATCATAATATGTATCAGGAAAACTATTCAATACTTTGCTATCTAGTTTAGCAGCACTCTCTACTATTGCTAATACACATTGAGCAGTAAATCACATAATCTCGTTGGCTGGACTTAGAAAGATATGTACTTGGCTCTAATCGATCAAAAGGCAGTAAAGTTGTTCACTGCATTTTCATCTGCGTAAGGAAGGTCGTTATGTCTAGTAACGTGCGGCATAGCGTATTCTTGAGCGGCTTGCTGAGGTGTTCGTTTTCTCCTCTTGATGAGTTGCACGATTCCATGCAAGCAGAAGCACTAGAAGAGTGTTTTGAGCAACGCCACATACTGTGATAATCTCATAGCGTTATAGATTGTACAAAGAACTTGTTGACCCACTTTTTCGGAATCGTTCATATAAACTATGTATCTGTACCAGCCTACCACAAGAGCTAGGGCAACGCCGCCTAGAATTGTTGTGCATATTAGGATAATTACCGAACCAATAATTATAGCCATAGTTCTCCATGATAGATCTCGCTGAAAACAAAGCAATTTGATACGCGTAAGAAGACCCCGCTTTAACTGGCGCACAGCCAAATATCTCTGCCATCATCCAGAGCATACATACTCTATGTATGACATTTTTCTTGGTTTTCATAGGAAATCAGCGCTATTAGCTGTTATTAGGAAATGGACCACTGTTCAAACTGCGCTCTACATATACCTAGTACTTACAAAACTGATTAACATCCCACCTGGTAGTAAAGTAAAACAGCAATAAATAATGCATGAACGAAGGCATACATGGTAGCGATGGTTAAAAAAATTGCATTGACTATCACCATATCCAGGATTTCGAATTTGATTGAAAGTAGTAGCAGAGCTATAGAAATCAGCCATAAAATACACGTTCCCACGTAGACAAGAGTCGAAATCCGTATAAGTTCCAACATATCAAGTCTAGCATCCTGAAATTGCTGCAAAACTGATTTGATGACATAGCTTCCGCATAATAGTTGAAGTCACACCAGGAAATCCAGGTAGATAGTTGTATTTGGCACTTGCTCAATACTGAGAAGACTGCTCGTATTGGAATTGACATTTAGTTTGGGATCAACACTTTCCACGAGAGCAGCTTTATCCTCTACTGGAGAAACGTTGTGTGGTTCGGACTTAAATATTTTACTATTAGTAGGTGCTTTGGTTAAAAACCGCGCTCTTTTGATATCTCAAGAGAAGTCAAAGCTGAGTATACGCTACTGTCCTTGATTTACTCGTTTTAATGGAACTCACAGTAACTGGCGCTTCTAGTGCAGAGCTGTCGAGAGGTCTTGCATGAGAGATCGGCTCGAGAATAGTGGAGTTCTCATTCCAACTCATATACTCGTAACCTCCGACATGGTAGAAGAAGAATAAGGCGACTAGGACGCTAACCACCAATATAGCGAATTGAAGAATGAGTGAGACTATGCCGGTAGCTTTTGGTGCAACGAAACACGTGGGGCTAAGGTTGGTGAGGCCGGCACGGTTGCCGATGCCATTCACCTCGCGTGTGATGTCCATATCAAAGTCAACGCGTTTTTGAGGTGACTCGTTGAGGAATGGTGTCAAATGATACTTTTCTACAAAATATGCTAGCGAATTGGAACAACTGGCTTCAGATATGTGCAGTTTTGAGCAAGAAGATGCCGTTGTTGTGAAGCTTTGATTATGACAGCAAAAATGGTATCGGGATCGCTTAGACGACTAGAATTCGAGCCCGCTGGATTTGATGTACCCGAGTCAGCAGCATATGACCGAATTGACCGCCTTACTCTCGACGCCGTTGCTAAGGCTACTCAACACTTCCCTACTCGCGCGCTCGATGCGTTAGTCCGTCTGTGAATGGCTGAAAAGATTGCGATATGAGATTGTTAGATGATTGTGTCTGAAAACAAGTGCTTCGCTTTTAGAAGTAATCCTCCACTTTTCAGTAAATACATGCGTGCTTTGGAGGATTTCTACGAGAAAAGTCACCCCGAGTTTATTGCACTGCGAACGAAATGTAAAGAGATTTTGCAGGTGAGACGTTGTTCAATCGTTTCGCTAAAAAATGGAAAATTGAACAGATAAATACTAAGAAGAGCGTTTTACTATATATAAAATCCTTGTGGTTTGAACGGAAAGATATTGGCAGTTGCGGCGAAAGCCACATTTTCTTGTAAATAATCGCATCGGTAGAATCCAAAGCGATGATGTAAAACGGAGTAAGTCCACCGTTGTAGTTATAACGGGAGCTTTTCTTTTCATTTGCACAGTCAAAGCATAGCAAATCGTAATTTTGGTGGGAACCGTGAAGCACACATTCCAGTTGTCTGCACCTATTTTTCGTAGGCTTGAAATTTGCTTTCACAATCCTTTATCACTCAGGAGGAAGAAGACCTTTCCGAAATCGTGCAACTAGTAGGTAAAGCTTCGCTCGCCGAATCTGACAAGATCACTCTTGAAGTTGCCAAACTTATCAAGGTATGCGTAGATAACTCTGCTCTTTTCACCCTGATTTCTTCTGTTCTTTAGGATGACTTCCTCCAACAGAACGGATATACTCCATATGACCGATTCTGCCCATTCTACAAAACCGTGGGAATGTTGAAGAATATGTGAGTTACTTGCTCTGTTCATGTTTGCAGAATGATGCGGTGCAGCATTATTTTTCCTACAGGTGTTAGGAAGGAGGGGGATTGTTATTGTTGATCGAGTTAAATCCTGTGCCCTATTTGATTGATACATCTTGGAAACCGTAAGAAGTCAAACATTGCTTATTGCTATAGCTTGACTGATCGCACCTGATGAGCCCTGTTTTGGTCGTGAAACTCATTCTTTTAGGATTGCCTTTTATGATCTCTCTCGCCATGCTGTCGAATCCACTGCTCAGTCAGAGAACAAAGTTACGTGGGCAACGATCAGGGACCACATGGGAGATCTCTTATACCAGCTTTCGGCCATGAAGTTCAAGGTTCATAGATTTCATTGTTCACACCTACGAGAAAGTACATTGTTGCAGGATCCTGCAAAAGACGGTGAAGAAAAGATCAAGAAGGATTACGACGATTTGTTGGAAGCAATGCAGAACGCATTCAGGAATCTTGAAGATTGATCCTGATGATATACCCTGTTGATATTAAGACCAGACCGATAAGTCATTCTCACTTTTATCTCTCATCTCGCTTACTTTACTGTTGAACCATTTGTGATAGCATGATTGTGTATAGTATCCCAGACTTTCATGCCATCTCCATCCATTCCATATAGGTTCCCGTGCAGTTTGAATTTGCATAGAACCTTCAGTTGTATGAGATATTAGTAGATAGTAATATCATAGAAAGTTGTTATAGAAGCAAAAATGTGATGTGCACCAAATATGCAAGAGCTGAGCAAATAATGTCCATAAGAATATTCTCTCTAGAATAAAGAATATGTACTTTTCTGCATGATCTATCTACTCGACTAAGCGGTTAGGGTGTAGTATGATCATTGTCCCTGAAATACAGTCAATGCAGATTATCGCATCTTCCTGAACCTTCTCAATCACACCTCTTTCTCAGTGATGACATCCATATGCGTCTTGATTTCTACACCGGAAGGAGCACGCCACTGTGACACTCATTTGATGTGATGATTGAAATGGAACTCCCCCCCCCCCGAGCAATGAGAAATTCCACGATAATCTTAGAAATGCGTTGACTTCTTTCGGGTTAAGTGCAGCGGTGATAATTGAGTGGATGTATGAAACTCTTGAGAACGAATTAAACTTATTAAGGTCATCCCTTACAGCTTACTTAGGAATATCACCACATCTGCGATCTGAACATTTGCTAAGATGGAAGTCATTCTCTCTTCATCATCCTCCTTCTATCCTATAAGGCATCAAACGTCCCCAACTTGTAGAGCATGCCTTTTACTAGAGAGATCGCAAGTTTCTAGTTGCTCCATGAGCATGAAACTATGCAGGTAATTTGAGCATGTTCAAATTCTTACATGACTTTTTCACAAAAATTTGTTGAGTATCGTCGATTCGCTTACCGCACGGACTGCTCAAAGGCTGCGACCACGCGCGGCGCGGCTTAATTGTCGTGAGTACGACTTGTACCATGGCAAATTTGTACTGGGGCAAGCATTTTACCTCACCGCGCGTGCTCCGCAGTGATGTCCGGTCCGTGTGGTCAACGAATCAACTATACCTTATTAGATAATTTACCAAAAAATTTTTCTGGGAGCTGGACATGACACGCTCCTTAGGCAAGATATTAGGATTTCAGACTTTTGTGAAGACACTGTCTGGGCACGTGTATAAGCCAGAAAACCAGCTGCCTGCACGTGGACGGTCAGCCATGTCAACGCTCTTCGCTGAGTCACACTGGATCACGAATGATTTCGAAACTATTGCTGTTCTGCACTTCGTTCTTGTTTTAGAAATCTTTCCTCGGAATCTGCTAACAGCCTGCACTTGATTGATAATGTACTCTATTCATTTTCAAGAGTTCACTGTTTGATTACACCATTAGTGTTTCAGCTGCCTTCTGTAGAAAGCACGTACTACGGAATGGATTTTTGGATGAATGAGACAAACACCAAGCATTGTGGCGCAAAAATCCGCGCTTGTCATGCTCTATCTGTAGTAAGTATTTTATGTTGAAATGGCAAAAGAGACCAGCTGAAGTGGTCTTGAAATGTCACTGTTGCTTGATTTTCTGGAAGTTTTCTACTTTAAAATAGACTACAGTCTGTGTTAGCAATGTTCTCCCTTGCCGATCAGCTCATGCGCAACGCTGGAACCTCTGCAGCGTTCGGTGTACGGCGTTACGGCGTATGCTGCCTCGACTGCAGATTTCTGCGCAATGTCCACGAGCTGCGAATGCGTAGACACTACGGAAAACGGAGCACGTGGTTGACATCGATTGTACTTGTTACCATTTGAAAATTGTCCTGTGCATAGTTCACTTGTGCAGTCGAGTAGATTTTCCGCTCAATATGGTGTGTTTGGACTGCAGGTGAAATGTGGTAAAGTTTGCGCGTGAACAAATAGCTAGCCCTTTGCGCCGTCCAATTGCGCGCGCAGAATACCGACTTACTGGCGTGGCTATTTGTTCACGCGCAACTTTTACCGCATTTCAACTGCAGTGTGAGCACGCTATATTAGGCGAAAATCTACTCGACTGAACCCTCTTTCGCAAGGACGTGTCTCCTGCTCGTACCAGTGGGATCCGAGCAGACCCCTCGCTTGCACGCTGCGGGGTGTAAGGCATTAGGCGACAAACTCATTTTCTTGTACCCCAAAAAACTCTCCCTGCAAACGTCTTCGGCGGGAAAAGGAGGTGTAGGGGTCGGGTCCGGTCCGGCACATAACTCGACGCCAGAAAAATGGCGCATAGTTGTGAGTTACGGGCTTTGGGGCTGTGGCATACCTCCAGCGATTCCGTCAAATCGCTACGTCCTGACGATTTGGCGGTTCGCCAGGTATTCATAGATTAACCGTGCACGGGTCTCACAAGGAGAGGATACTTAGTCGAAAGCACCAATCCATATGAGACATATATCATCTCAAAGCGCTTGAAACGTTGATTTCAAATCTGTAGTTTCTAGCTGCGGAGCGGTTTTCTAGAAGGAGTTATGAAGGTGCTTCCCTCTGGGGTTGAGGCGCCCTCCAGCAGCTCTTCCCTTATCTATGAGCACTGTAGAGGAGTACCAACTAGGTTGTCCTAGTGGTATAATTTGTATGAAGATTACAATAAGGATTACAATACTCATATTACTTTGGTTTTTAACACTTCTACCTTGAAATAGCGTCAACAAATTATCAGAAATTTCAGGCTTTTGGGCTCCAAAGCCATTTAGAAGCTCATTTTTGCGAAAACTGCGATGAAGTTGCATGCGAAGGGTAAAACCTTGACACTCTCCTTATCAAGCAAGTCACTTACCACTAGGCCAGTCGCCACCAGTCGATACCCCTCTACAGTGCTCATAGATAGGGTGAGACCTGCTAGATTGCGCCTCAACCCCAGGGGGAAACACCCCTCATAACTCCTTCTACAAATTTGCTCCACAGCTAGAAACTACAGATTTGGAATTAACATTTCAAGCGCTTTGAGATGATATATGTCTCATCTGGATTGGTGTTTTCGACCAGGTATCCTCTCCTTGTCAGATGCATGGCAGGTAGCTTCTGTAAACTCCTAACAAAAGCATTAGATCTGGCAGGAAAGCGCGCTCACGACCAATTATAAGTAAACGCTGCACTGCCAAATCGCACAGCGACTGATATCGCGCGAAGTATGCCTGCCTTGCATTGCTTGCTTTTTGCACGTTTTGTCGCCTAACGCTTGCCCTTCCTTTTGCCGCAGGGTCAGACACGTCAGGAAGGAACGCGTCGCCTGCAAAGACATGTTAAAATGCGACAGGAAACCGACAAGTTGTCCAGCGCGAGCCGAAACGCGCTCCGCGCGCCACTTTGGGCGCAATTTTGTTGACGTAGAAGAGGCCACAGGCAATGAGACATGAGCATTGGACTGATATGGAGGCCACCTAATAAAATTTGTGAAAATCCACATACACCAAATCTGGTGGGAACTAATTGTGGGGAGACGGTCTTTTCGCACGGGCGCTCTCAAGCGCCACCCTGATTTTGACTTGTCTGAACACGTCGCGCACGCCGCAAACCTTTCCTCCCCTTGTTTTGCTTAGGGAAGCCGCCGCAGGATGTGTCGCGCGCGGAGATGATCCCGTATGGAAAGCATAACGGTCGTGCGAATCGCCCTACACCCCTAATTGTGTAGCACTAGGAAAGTCTAGTTCCGGGGAGACGGTCTTTTCGCACGGACGGTCTCCAACGCCACCCTGATTTTGACTTGTCTTAACACTTCACGCACGCCGCAAATCTTCACTCCCCCTGTTTTGCTTAGGCAAACGCCGCCGCAGGGTGTGTCGCGCGCGACGGTGGTGTGCGGAAAGCCTCACGGTCGTGCGAATCGCCCTACACCCCTAGTTCCGCACGAGGGCAGAGGATCTGCTGTCGCGAAGTGGACAACGCTATCGCGCACCTAAATGGCAACTCTTGAAGGCAGTGGCTCGGCAAAATTTACCTCGTCAGGTTCTGGTAATGTTGCGTAGTACACCTCGCAAGTACAGCGTAACCTCAACCCCACCTTCCAATTCACGCAAGTCCTGAAAACGTTTTGAAGCGGGTATTTTGCCGAACCACGCCTTTGAAGACACCGTTTACCTCAAATTAGGGGTCTTGAGCTTTTGGCAGCATATGGTAGCGGAACCCCCTATCAAGCCAATGCCCATGTCGCGGCGCAGAATGTCGCTTCGAAAGCAAGAAAATCGCTCTGGAACAACGAAGAGAGAAGAGAACCCCAAGGCGACAACGCCCCCTCCAGTAATGCCCGTCCGTGCTCGCCAGTCGCCGTTCATGAGATCCGCGGGTTCTCCAAAACGGGGATTGTCGGAATCTTCGCGGATCTCAAGTTCATATTTGTGAGACAGAGACATGAGAAGACCCTCGGAACGACAAAACCATAGGAGTCGAGAATCTGTGTAGAAGGTGCCTATAAGACCGACTGCTTGCACGCATAGGTACGGTGGGAAGAGCCGGGTCCGCTGTATGTAAAAAGGGTTTGGGCTTTTTTCCTCCCTCAGAAATGGAGAAAGTGCTGGAAGGGGGGAAGGGGGGGGGGGAGGGGGAAGAGGAAACAGAAGAAGAGGAAGGGAGGTATGGTAAACTTTAGCGCTGCAGCAATGGAATCTCTATGCACTATCAATTCATAATTGATACACTGTTGAAAAGCTCGGATTTCTAACACTTCTGAGCAGTCAAATTCGAGAAATTTTCAAGAGATTATCAACCAGATCCGTGGGATCACCACGTGCCGCAATTACAAATAGAGGAGGAAAGAAAGTGATGATAGCTTTTTTCCCCTAATGGGTCACAATCCTCAAGTTGCAAGAGATGCATTATCTCCAAAATGTTCCTTCTAGAGAGACCAAGAGAACTAACTGGAAATATTTTCCAGATTCTTGGAGCTACTGTGGCATTGCTGTTGATCTCAAATATCGCCACTATTATATACGTAAAGCGTCGTCCAATCTATCGCTTAGTTCGGAGATTATTTGGCTCAATGGATGATGAAATGAGGGATAATCTCGTTACTTCCGACTATTCTGTGGTGCAGTCATAGGCAATCGGAACTTACCGTCAATTTGACCGCATGGACTGCTCAAACGCTGCGGACCACGCGCGGCGCGGCTGAAAAGTTGCGAGATCACGACTTGTACAATGGCGAATTTGTATTGGGGCAAGCGTTTACCTCGCAGCGCCCGCTCCGCAGTGATGTCCAGTCCCTACGGTCAACTAATCGACTATACTACCGCTTTGATATTCGCTAATAAACTTCTATATGATATGAAAGCAAATAAACCCACTGAAACGATCAACAGGTTATATTCTCCATTTACTTCTCAAGCTACGAAACAACAAAATTTACACGTATTCAGGACACGTTAACATTGTTGCATAGACCGACAAGACAAAATCAAAGAAGAGCAGTCAAGGAAAACTTCAATGAAATGGATATGAATTCAAATCATAACGACAGAGTGAAAAGAGCAGAATACGTAGCTTCAACCTCACTTGCTACTTGATAACTCTGAGTTATGAACTACATACAACAAGAAAATAACTGCGATGATAATGAACTCAGTGATAGCCCTGAGAAATCACTGCAAGCAGTCTCAAGAAAAGCGTAGCCCGTTTCCTTTGCACACTTCATACAGAGCCGCAGTAATACTGGAAACGCAATTAAATCTATGTTGCGCGTTTTCTTGGTTACTTGTCTGCAGATAAAGTATTCAGCTTATGTTCGAGGCATATTGACCATAAAATTTGCAGCGATGATCTGCTCTAAAATATCACTAACTGTTATTAGTCAAAAGCATAATTTCGTACGCCTCATGCCACTTCTCAGTGTCAGCACGGAGCTACCTGAGAGGTTGAAGAGTGAGTCATCATTTGTCACTGCTTGATTTCACCGGTAGAACTCGATGATGTAAGAAGGAAAATCGCTAAATTTATAATAAGGTACTGATCCGAAGCAGTAGCACGAGAGGTCAAATGGCTTCTGCATAAGATTTTTCGTGTTAACGACAGGCTGTCAAACATTATAGTCGATAAACCAAACGCATGCTAAGCACTGAGCTATACAATCAATACATAAGACTAGCGCCGAGAACATACAATAAAGAACGTAGGTAACCAATGAAAGACCAGAGAACAAACAGAAGAAATGGTTCAAAGACGGCAATTTCAACAATCTTGTCAGCTCATTTGTAAGCCTCAGAAAAAATAAACTATTTCTGCTTTTGCACTGATAAATACTCTATATTTCATACCTCTGTTAACCCTAGCAAAGACGTATCCCCTTACTCGTAGCTCCGCTTTTCCATGAGTTGTCTTTTTTCTCAACAACAGCTCGACACATTGGGCATGTATTCTCACTTTCAAGCCAAGTATCAATGCAAGAAACGCAGAAGATATGCGAACAGCTCAACTGTAAACCTACTATTGATTTGATCTGGACCCAAATGAAACGAACCTCACCTTTGTGGGCGTGGTGAAGTCCCCATGACAGATGGAGCACATGGCTTCTTTCTCAACCTCTTCTCGCGTGGGTGTGACCCCGTAAGGAGTCGACTGAAAAAAAACTCATTGCTTAAAGCGGGCTGTAAGTGGAATTACTAGTGACAGAATGGCTAGCTTTTTTAGTTTTAATAAAGGACACAACATCATCGAGCGTGATCTAGCATGTAATGTACGAGTGCGCGAGAGTTTCGCCTAAAGCATGCAGAAACTCGTGAGCAGACGTAATCGCCTTTGACACGTAACGGGATGCCCCGTTCGACATGCCAAAATGTTCATCAAACCATGAGGAAACTTACATAGACCATTCGAGCTGCGCATCTGATCGTCAATTGAGCCAAAGCCCATAATTCGCGAACCTGAAAACGTAATTATCGTAGACCTTGGACAGTTAACTTCTAATAGGTTATCAATAACCTTCAAGATAGCATAGAGAAACAATAGAATGCTATTTGTATAGAAGGTGAATCCAGCAACTTCTGCTCCAACAAAATAATGTAGCCATTGTGGCACAGGTATCACACAGCGGTACATCTTGAAAAAGACAACGAAACTTGAGTTACGTAGGAGTATTAACATACTTGAGACGAGTATTCCAGAAATTGATTAATTTTTCTTTTCATTCCCATACTGAGTCCAGAAAATGATACCTGAATTGAAAATCATATGCAATTCATCATACTCCTTCAAACTGTACAGGGCCTTCATTAAATCGTGACAATGAATCCGACTGCGGTCCTAGCGCATAACCAAATGTTACAATAGCTCAAACACTCAGGGATATCGCTTTAGTGCTCGGCCCACTGGCTTAACATCTAGAACATATGTTCGCAAAAAGCACTTCGAGTAGAAACGAATGCCAATAAATGCGTTTGCCAAAACTGCGTGCGCGACTCACGCGATCAAAGCCATTGTCCGATTTTGTGATTCCCTACAATCATTATCAAAAACTCACGATCATTTTTGAACCCGCTACTAGCATCTTCACAAAAGTGTCGGTGATTATCAGAACAAAAATAGTAAAAGAAAAACCATGATAAACAACACCCTGAATTTTTTTTTATTTTGCAATGATTAAAGGCAGCGTCCAGGCAAGTCTGGACATATGGGGATCTCATGTGGATGGCAATTTTGGGGCCCTAAGTAAGCCACTGCCCAACCGGCAGCTTAGACAGTGCTCTAACGGCTGAGATATTCCCCTCGAAACTGGACCCCAATATCGTATTTCGCATGGATTCATGGCGCAACGCGTGGATCCTCTCGCGAAACTGCCTGGATCCATACGAATAAGATCCTGGGGTTCAGTTTGGAGGCGTATATCTCAGCCGTTAGTGAGTCACCTGCAGTGCCGCTTGGGCAGTGCCGGTAGGGCCCCAAAATCACTTTCCACGTGTAATCGCAATAAGTCCAGATTTGTCTGGACGCTGCCTTCAAGTGCCAAGTCAGCAAAGGATCCACTATTTTGGAAACCTCACCGCATATTGAAGAAGCAGTGCATTAGTCAATTCAAAGCCATCATCGTAGATGTACAGACCCGATGTGAAATAGAATAAGACAACAAAGATCAGTATGGATGTTATGCGCAGACTTTTGGATGGTCGTGCTACAACCAAAAGAGAACTAAGAATGTAGTGAATATGAGAAAAACACTTCACCTGCTGAAAACAGTTGCTGGACTCTTGAATCGATAGTTATGAAACTTCCCACTGCAGTGACAACTCGGAAGATGGACAGAAAGTTATCAAATACCATTTTCAGCACAAAAATCAGGACGAAAGGTACGATAGCTGTGACCATTGTACACAGCTGAAAAGCCATTAGTGAGAGATTAACACAATAATTCGGGATTCATTCCTTTTGAGCAATCAGTATCAACCACACTCTCTAATGTTGGAAGAGTTCTGGTAATCTTCCGAGTTATGGCCCCCATTGTTATACCTTTTATAATGAACACGACAAGCGCTGACTTCGAATTTTACTTAATCCCAAAAACTGGCTATGCTGAAAACTTACAGTTTGAGCATCTTGATTCTGGTTGATTGTTTGTTGAAGTCGAGCATACTCGCCACGTAATCTATCAGCTGCTTCACGCATAGATTGAGAGGAACGTGCTCCTACAAGCATATGCAAGACGAGTTTTCATACGAAAGCGTAAGGTATGATTCACCCTGCTCGCGACCTTCTGCAGACGTGCTTTGCGAGGACTGGCCTTGTTCTCGAGAGACACCTTCAGCAGGCTCAATATCTGAAAAAAAAAACCAAACTCGTACCAAACTCGTTCAAATGGAAACATAATAATCAGACTTACCTACACGCACATCGGGCAGATTCATTATGCGATCGTAGTTCATCAAAACATGATTGGCAGCTGCTTCAACGCGCTACAAGTTGATGGGATGAAATGACTGTAGTGACTGGTGATATGGGGACTGATGCCTACAGCTTTTCAAATTACAGTGAGGTGCTACTTTGCGTTGATTCTAATTGAGCGGATGAGCGTGGCCAAGTCAACTTCTTCATATCATTTAGAGAGCGACAGCTAATATACTAGATAGCTCAGATTCCACGACAGTCGATTTGCTAATGAGTGTATGGTATTTACGGTAAATGGTAGTACCAGAAAAAGGTGTATGCCCCTCAAATAATATGCGGACGTTCATAACTCATTGTAACACTGTACGCGAAGAGTACCAGCGTTCCAAAAAACTCTTGGACTATGCTCGTGCAAGATTACAAATGAACTAGGTGATGTAAAAATGTATCGGTAAACTATTCGACTGCCTCCGTAAAGGCTACTACTGATCTTATCAGTTATAGCACATACCTGCTGCAGCTCGTAGTGTTCTTGATCAGCCAGATATGAACTACTTGGCACAAAGTAAGGTGTGTCCTGCTCCATCCTGAGAATTACATTTGTATGAGCATTTTTCCCAGTAATTTAAAGGTGGAAGGTATCAGCGTAGCCAAAACTAGTAAACGTACATACTCTAACAAAATCGAAACTTTAATTGATTGCACGATGCTATATAAATACACATGATTCAGAGTATATACAGACAAAGAAAAGAAAAATGAGGTGAGAATCATAGCGTTCAAGCACACTAAAATTTAAAGAAGTGAAAACAATTATCTTTTCGGTTGCGTTCCTAACAAGACATGATTGATATGAGAAATGCGATGCACATATCACAACAACAAGAATAAGTGAGTGAACAAGTGATACGGTGAGATTATCTTAAAAAAGTGAAAGCATTAATAATAATTTCCTTGCCGATCTTTTCGTATGCCATAAGGTAAATCGTGACGTTTCAACATTTCTCGAGTCAGTCTTGGTTCAGGCTTTGCGTCCTGCACGTAAACCTGTAAAGCAAAGCAGCAGTGTATGCAAAGAACTTAGTGCAATCAGCTAATCCAGACGACTCCAAACCAATCTGGATCGCTACACCAGCCAAGCTATGTGTTTAGCTATGATAAGCAAAAATCGGGAGGTACTTTTACAATACTACAGTACAAGCTATTTATCAATCTGTAACCAACGACCCCCGCACTGGTAACCACCGCCCTGACATCCGGCACTTGAAACCAAATCAGATCCAGATCACATAAAAAATCCTCTCGAAAAAAAAAGTGCTTCATGAAACTGACCACACGGACGCGACTTGGCTGTGTGAAGACGAGGTACAATGCGAATACAAGAGCTAACACTTGACAGATAATGACTGCGAAAAAAACGACCAGAGTGATGGAAAATCCAATGCTAAGAGCAACCCATATCCTGAAATTAGAATGAGGAGGTTAACAACAAAGTATGTGCTCTGCTAGTAAAAATTGGGTTGCCCGTGTGCCCGTCCTGTGCCGAAAATGGGACGGACACGGGTTACTCTAGCGGCAATTCAAAAATTTTCGAAGCAAGAAGCACATGATCCGACTAACTTCACTGAACGCAAAAACTCTGCGGACATGGCACTTCAGAGGAACAAGAAAGACTCGATGTAAGCTGCTTTCCTGCTGACATTCTTCATTAGCAAAACAATCATCTTTGTCAATCGATATCAAAATCCAAGCGTGCAGATTTACTTCGAAAAACGCTTGTGCCCAAGCATGCAGGTCTTATTTTAGGAAACGCCTTTGAGTGGTGCTGCTACAGCAGTTAGACTGTTCGTTTGCCTGGCTCGTAGTTGAGCAGTTGAGTCATTAACTTGAAGAAGCATTCAAAGTTACAGGGAAAGAAGCAGATAACAAAGTACTGACTTATAATACTCTATTTGAAAATTACATTACAAGCATTTCAATTCCCAAGAAGAAGCTACAATTCTGCAAAAAGGAACAAATGGTGTACAAAAACTAACCTATAATGACATCCGTCACATCTGATATCACACGATCTAGGTGGATCTTGACGAAAAGCGCGAAAATCAGAACAGCCAGCATTCCCTGCAGTTAAACTCTATGTTATATAGAATTATGTAAAACAAATTCTCCAAACAATAGGTATGATAGTTTCAATCGAGAAAAAAATGTGAAATCCAACAGACTCCAAGCTTGGATTACTACAATCGGGTATTTCAACTGCTTTGATGAGATGCATCGTGTACCACTACGTTATGGATAGTGGTACGCTATCTGTACGCCACCTACGGCAGTCAGAAACCAAAATAAAGATTTACAGAATTATAAAATAAGAACTCTACGACGTAGCAATTGTTGTTAGCCCAAAAGTCTATATTATAGAAGGAAAAGAAGAAAAAATGAAGAAGATTTCTTGACTCAATATGTCAAAATCGCTCAACTATCTATGTTCGATACCGATAGAATTTTTGAGATACTTACCACAACAGCGAAAAGTCGTTTGGAGATGATCGAGAGATTCTTGGATAATCCCTGCACCTTGATAATAATGTTGTACCATATAATTTAAAGCATCAGATAACTCAACATCAATCTAAAGTACGGGCTTACGATGAGAAAGCACTCGGGATCCACTAAACTCACCCCATCTCTCTTATATAGAAGATAAATGCCGCAGCTAAGGGTAGCAATCAAAAGAAGGAAGACAGCCATGGAATAAATGATGAGTACAACACGATTTTCAGCATTGACACCACAGCAGCCTATGTGTGGTAGATTATCCAAAGCAATGAGAGTCTACATCAAATAAGTATGTTGTAAAGAAAAACCATATTATGAGCATTTGTTGATCGAGTCGCCAAGCTCAACACATAAGTACTAAGTTTAGATGTAGTATAAGAGCGAAATCGAATAAAACAATACAGCCAAGCAAAACTAATTTTTAATTCAAACCTGGGTGATTGTAAGCAAATTCAATTTTCAAATAAGAACTGCAAAGCACTCACCAAAGAAAGCAACGACGATCATGCAGCATCCTAAGATGATCGTGATATAGGAGAAAGCGTATAACGTTGGAGCTTCCCAAAACGCTTCTTCAACTACCTGCCGATACCTTTAAACTTCACCATTTCGTCAACCAATGTGAGAGTGTGAGATTAAAATACCTTTCACTTAGAAAATTCCGGAACCTGCTATCAGTACGCAACCAAACACCCATGGCCAAGAGAATACTGCCGACTACCTGCACATACTTGAAATAGGACAACGCCAATATATAGCTTACAGAGCTTCATGGATTCTGATCAGAAATTTCTATTAGGTAGTACCGAATTAAATAAGTAATACGAACGTTGACTCAGGAACTCCTTGTAAGATTTGCACTAACTCCGTCGCCTCTTTTCTGTTTTCCTAACAAGAAATCTTTCTCTAATCTTGAGAATAGCGCACAGCAGCGGACTACAAACTATAATGTCGGATTTGAACAGAAGATTTATTATGTTCCAATCCGAGATGTAGTGGTTTCCTAACAAGCCACAACGCTAGTTGTCGTTCATAGTTCAAACAACAAGCAGAACATTTGAGAAAACTGAAGAGCTAGTGCTGATTAACAAGTTTATACAACTCACCATAAGCACGATGTTAGCAGCAAATACGCCGTATTTTAACCATGGTAAACAGCTTCCTTCCTTCGAACTTGCAAGACTTAACGAGTTGATATAGATGCGAAGTCCTATTATAAGTGACTATGGCTCACCTATACGATCGCGAGCGATATTCCTCATTCACTTCATTTCGTTCATGAACAGGAGAGTATACACGTTGTTTTTCGAATGCTCGGTGATCCCCATAACGTGGATCAAAGCGACCTGTCATGTAAAATATGCAAGCTTGCAGCCGCCTGGAGGCAAAACTGATGTCGTTGGGTGTACGCGACGCGGCCGCTCGCCTCAGCGATCAGCTGAGCCTCTCTGACAAGACTCGGATGACCGTTTCAGGTGTCGCAAAAAGGTTTCCTTTTCTTATGTCAGTATGTTTATTTACATGAGAGGTGCCAAAACATGTATTTGAAGAAGCCGGTGTGTTGGAAGCACTCTGAAATTTTGCCAGAGCAGCGGAGTGAATTGAAGATGATGCATTCTTTTACTTGCACACAAAAATGCTGAAATCAACAAAAAGACGGTGCTCTCAAAGAAATCAGTTACAAGGGGATGGTTTACTTTGTGATTTTGGGGTAACCAAGCGAAATGAGTTCAAGTTGATGCAAATTAGGAATGAGCGAAAAATAAAGTAGTGTATATATGTGTATATATGTGTATAGAATCGGGTGCACCTGCTGTAGCAGGATGGCTTACAAGCAAGATGCTTGAGCCTTCGTCTCTTGAAAGTGCATCGGTGAAAAAAGGGTCCACATGTCAAATTATGAGAGCCATTTACACATGACATTTACTCGGAAATCAAAAATAAGATACCGCTAATGCACACATCGTCTATAAGCTCAGGCTTGTTCAGTTTATGTCTGGTAGGAAGTTATGCAAGATGAAATGAGACTTTGACTCCACACAACCGTTTTCGAGTAGTGAATGATGCTGCAATATTGTCTTGGATGTACTATTCCTGGTATATGCAAGTCAACTTCTTAGCAAATCAACGATGAACCTCCACGTAATTCTTATTCTTATCACTATTATCTCCAGTCTGGCTCAGCCAGTTGTAAAGGTGGGATGCAATATTGCCGTGGAAAGAGACGTCATTCATCGAACCGGTCACCGCGTTGTGTGCCGTTCGTATATCCAGGGTCGGTGCTTTTGTCTGCAATAATGCTCATTTTCTTTATCTTACCATCGTAACTAATTGAGCAGGCGTTTATTCAACAAGCTTTGACAATGTCAGTCCCATATACATAATTTTGACTCAGTGGTAAGGGATTTGGGCACGTTTCTGGGCGAATTTTCTTTGTTATGATCATGGAACTCCAGCGGCGAGCAGTCTAGTTTTGGTGTTCAGTTAAAACTTTTTTTATAGCGAGGTTATGCGCACACTTTTTCTGACTCCTAGAATTTTGTAACCAGCCGGTAAGGTTCTGCTTTTGATCGTATCATCCATAATTTATATGCCACTAAAAACAGCACACATCACCCTTGAGCTGAATGCCTTCTCCGTATCTTTTTCTCCCTCTTTGCTCAATTTTTGGTCCAAAGTTTGACCTGTCAAATCGTATCATTGGCGGTTTATTGCTGTAAAAAATTACAATAAATTACTAGGAGAACAATGCAGTCACATGTAAAGCACAACTAAGCGCATTTTCTCTTTCTTTCACGGAAAGGAGCCATTGTCCTGAACTCGGGTAGGTAGGCTGGCACAAAATCCCGTGTATGGTCCAGTTTGACTGGCAGATGAGCGAAGTCGACTGAGTAGTTGTAACAGAACACGCTGATCCATTCAATATCGTAAACAGTTTGGTATTCTCCCAATCGTACAACGATGTCCTCATCGGCCCAGTCCTCTCTAATCGAACAGTGACTAAATAGATGATTTCAAAGGCGCAATTAACGAATAAATTCTTAGCCTCGCCTCATAACTTTCAATAATAAACACAAGAATAACTAATCGTATCTATTAAAATCTATATCGTGAATCTATTAAAATTTGTACTACTTCCACACTAAATTCTCAACCCTGAACCCAAATTGTTGCTTTCACAGGGCTGAAGCAGATTCGGGAAACTTCCTACACTCCAAAAGAATCGAACTCCAACAGTGTCAAAATAAGATGTTTCTTTGTGCTCTCATCCTTATCAGCAATCATTGATCTCTTTGAGGTTGAGCTTGTCAACAGCTGCTTCCATGTGATCTCTAATTGATTTGTCGTGAGAACGGATTCTGACAAAACACCTTTAGACTTAAAAACAGATTGATCTTCCAGCATTTTTGCCTTGTCTCTTTTCCAAGAAATGAGACTGTTTTTTTTGCATTGTTATCCAGTGTAGTTCCAGATGACTCACTGTTCCGGTGTATCTCTTCCTAATATGAAGGCTTTCTTCCCATTCTCTTGATTGATTTCGCCTCGCCCTGCGTAAATCCATGCGTCTGAATTTGTTTTCTTGCGATTATCAAAGTATCAAGAACATGCCTAACTAGGCTGTTTTGAATCCAGTGCAAAGAAAAGTGCACGATATTTACTATTTTACAAGTGCATAACAACTCATTATCCGCCTCATTATGGTTCTGCTTCGGTTGAGCAGAAGTGCAATCTATCTTATAAGCATGCCATGGCATTCAATCATTGTTTTCCGTGAATGAAACATATTCACTTACCCGGAGGCTTACTCCCTTCTATAGTAAACTTCTGTATAAGAAGTGTTTGTGCGTCTATAATGGCTATGGAACTAAAACGAGTTCCATAGTGACCAGTGACAACAGCACGTGAAGGATCGCGAATGCAGCACGTCGGTTTTGGGACATCTTTTGGCATTTTCACGGATGCTATATACCTCTGTAAAACGATTGTTTGGTGCGGTCAAGATGAAAGCGGTATTGTTAGTAAAAATATGTGGAAAATTGCCCTAATGTATATCTAAGGATGTACGCTGAATGCACTTGATTCGCATCAGTGCGTAACGAACGTGTGAACTTTTAGGTCTCCCTTTGTTTTAGTTTTGACTTCATGCCTATTTTTGGTGTGATATAGTATAGTACAAAAGAGCCAGTTTTTAAATCGATTGCGTATAGGTAAAAGGTAGTGGCTCTTCAATCCTCTTAAAAAAGCCCTGACCCAATCTTCACACAAGGCTCCTCAATGTGAGTCACTCCTAACAAAGGCTGCAGCTGTCAGTATCTTGTCTAAACTCTCGAAAACTTTGGTTCTTCGAAGAAAAGCGGGGTCGAACCTCGAAGGCTCCAGATGCTAGCAATCTCGCTTCGAATATCACCTTTTGTAACAGAACTTGGACCTTAGTTATCTATTAGTCCAGCGGTGTACCGTACCCCATCGGTGGCGTTTCGAAAAGCCATCGAGAAAGTGACCTCTGCATATGAAACCCTCAAAATTCTCTTCTTGAGAGAACAAACACTCCGCTTGTATTTGCGGCCAGATCGTAATCGAATACCCGCTAAAGTATACAAAGTTACGAGTATGCGCCCAACTGTGGTCGCCACAGTGCGTTATTTGCTGGAACGGGCTCTCAATGTAACCAACGGAACTTATGTACGAGTCATCGAGTGCACTCAACGTTTATAAATTGCTGCTTCCTTCGACAAATTCAATTCGGAAGACCGCAAAGCAATACCATAGTTCGAGGCGCAACGATACACCGAATTTGCGCCTTAGTCGATGTCTGACCCATCTTCCGTTGTTCATTTTTAGAAGTTCAGTTCAATTATCGTGCGTATTATAAAGGTCTCCCACTTTGCTTATCTTTGTTTAGTTTGATGACCATAATGGTTTTAACGCTTGGTTTTCAGAGTTATATGATCTCATCATCATTATCATCACTTATTTCGATAATTGGACTACTTCATGTATCTTTCACTTACCACATAGCTGACAAACGTCAGTTACTCTCAACTACTACTCATGTAAGTCCAGTAGCACTTCTGCATTTCTATAGCCATTGTTCCTATCGATTACTGCTTTGCAGAATTATGTAACGGTAATCCGCTCACCCTTGTATGTTAATTGTTCTGTATCGTTATGTGGAGGTGAGCTTGCACCCATTTACTGTCATGGAGACATCGTTACGAACGCATGGAGGTTTGGTCTGCAGGACATATGCCCAGGGACTCGAATGCGGTTACATCCGAAAGAGATCTTGAAGAATTTTGACAAGTGAGTTTTTAAAGCTTGATTGTTTTGTCGTTATCGTAGTTTATTTGCAGATTAGCGTACCCTCTTGAGAAAAAGACTTTTGAGGCTTTTTGTCGTTACAATTTCGTAAATGTACCATATCTCGTAAATGTATCATTGCCGGACTATAAAGCTAGACCACGCTTCTTGGATCAGATCCGAAGGAAGGAGCATCTGTACGTTATATCTCACTATTTGTTTTTAGCTAGATCCATTGAATATGTCGATCACCTCTCGTTGAGGAAATCCTTTTTTTCCTGTTTACAACTTTTATTTAGAATTTAGAAAACTTGCCGAATCCGTGCATTTTTTGTGGAACAAGCTTGCTCGTAAATTTACTGATGATGTTCTTCTCAATGCTTCATTCTACCCTGTTGTTCCCGTCACCAATAATTTTGTCGTCCCCGGTGGAAAGTTCCAGATATTCTTCTACTGGGACTCATACTGGATCTTGAAAGGTTAGCGGAGTTCTTGCCTTTCTCAATAATCTGTTGAGATTTCAGGCCTCTACTTGTCGGAACTGCTAAGCACAGCAAAGGGGATGATTCAAAACTTTGCTGATGTAATTTATCGAAATGGGTTTATTCCAAACTCTGGCAGTGTCCAGTAGGTATCATGTTTCTGTAACAAAAAGTTCTCAGGTTGTTACTTTTCGAAGGAAGTTGACTTCTCAGAATTTTGACCAAGTGTTTGCCTACTGTCATGTTAACTTTTTGAAAAAGTATGTTTTACCTCATAGGCGCATCACTATTCAACGCACCCACATGGCGCCGATTATCAAATTAGACAAGAATAGTTACACGACGCCAGTGCTATCTGCTAGCGATGAGATTAGTACTGCTTTTCGCTTTCAAAAAATTCATAGAGCCATGATTTTGCATGTAATCCCTAACCTACACACACTGATGGCATCGTTTATTCACCTTCCTGATAATTTGTAGTGAACGAAATGCCTAACTCTTACACTATCGCACCACAGAAATATTCAGATTATCACGTCGCTCTCAGCCTCCTCTATTTGCGCAAATGGTCAAAGACTATTTTGCTGTCACGAAAGATGTAGAAAGCTTACGACTTTGGACTCCATCTATGGACAAAGAAATGCGCTGGTGGATCGCTAACAGAAGCGTGAGCGTCGAGTTGCCCAATAAGAGCATGGGTTCTGTGTTTCTTTACCGAGTAAGTTCTTCTTTAATGTTGCCTTTTATGGTCCTGAACACTTCAGACCGAGACGAATTGTCCGCGACCAGAGAATTACCTTTCCGACTATTTACTTGGCATGAACAACACTGATCCCTTGAGTACTTGGAAAGCAATGTCCACTGCTTGCGAGAGTGGTTGGGACTTCAGCACTCGCTGGTTCGATCATGATGGAGAACGTCGATGTAAGTTCAGGAAATAACTACCAGTGACCATATCATTATGCATTGTGAGTCTTTTCATTTAGATAGAAAAGATTCAATTCGTACGCAGACGATTGTGCCCGTGGATCTAAACGTCTACATGGCTTTGAACTTCAAATTCTTGGCAGATTCACATGCTTTCCTTGGCAATATCAGGTAGAGTTGGCGTTGGCTGGTCATTTTGGAGAATGATGCCGTCTTTCGGACTTTCAAGTTAAGACATCTTTTGCGCATTGAGCACAGAATTAGTTTGCATGGTTATACTTGAGAAGGCTACTGCTTCTGCGAGTGAAACTAGAATTGCGGTCGACCTTCTTTCTCTGGCACTTCTAGCCACGACAAAATACAGGGTGTCCCAAAAGTATGTATCGAACGTTTGATCGTTAATATCTCTCTTCCCAAGAAGTCTTTTGCCTTGCTTCAAGTACCATTTTGTAGAGCTGGCTTCAACTTAGGTTTGCATTAAAGAACGAATCACCCATCTCTCTTCATTACTGTAGGATTACGGTAGAAACTTGAAACATATGGTGTCAATGTGGAAAAAGCTGCAGTTCCAAAATTCTTCAAAAAATTGTAAAAACTTGTGTAATAGGGTTTTTATGGATGCTGAGTTCAATACTCAACTATTCACAAGATTACAAAGCTTTCTAAACGGTGTAATCGCACTTTTTAGGAACATTGAAAAAATGGCCGCTACCTCTCACCTGGCATAACTCCTCAATGAAGCATCATAATAAGTTGGGAACTTTACAGTTATAATCAGCAACTCTAATTAGCCTAGTGTGAAAACTTTCAGGCTGTTTTATTTCCTTTCTAAGGCAAAATATGGCCTTTCATTGCTTAAAACCCTCTTTGAAGTTTCTACCGTAATCCTACAGTAATGAAGAGGAATGAGTGATTCGTTCTATAATGCAAATCTAAGGCCCGTATGCACGTACGTCCCCGCTGGGGAGGGGAGGGGAGCTGGATCCCCAGGGGAACGATCCCCTCCGCCGAAGCCCGCCATGACAGAGGGGAGGGGAGCGATCCCCTCCCCTGCACCTAAGCGGGGATGGTGTGAATGGTTTCAGAGGTATTGATCGAGCGAACCCCAGTGCATACGGGGTTCGAATGGGGGAGGGGATCCCTTCCCTTCCCCCACTCGAACCCCGTATGCGCGAATTCAACTCAGTAACGCGGGGGAGGGGATCGACATCCCCTGCAACGAAGTAGGGGTTCGATGGTGTAGATCATGCCAGAGACGCGGATATTCTGGTTCTGCTTAGTCATTACCAAGCATTTCGTTCATTTTGATGGAGGATTTTCTTTGAAAGCCGGGTTCTTCTCTCAGCGACCTGTGGCTTGCAATTTGTCTTTCTTTTCTATATTTGCCTCTTGAGAAGATATCCGAGCAACAATAGCTGCCAATTTCGATTATTTGTAGGAGTTCTTGATCATTCAGGAAATTTGCGCATTTTTCATATAACATAATAGTTTTAACTATATAGGCTGAGTAAACACATTGTCACTTTCATATTTCATGACATATTGCCATTATCTTGTTATTTTAACATAAGCTGCCTTGAAAAAATCTAGAAAGTAGCATATTTGCCTATTTCTGAGTAGAAATCCCTTGGGGAGTGATCCCCTCCCCAGCGTTCCCCTTGTGCATAGCAGGGATGGCTGCTGGGGATCATTCCCCTGGGATAAAGGACGATATGCAGCTGATAGCTACAGCGTTTATGGAGAGCTGGCACAATTTGCAGCTTCTGTTATGTGTTAGAATACTGCTTTGAGCGTCCGCGCGGCACCCCCCTCCCCCTTTTCGGCAGCCTAACGTCTTCTACCCATTCCCTTGCAGAGACACATCAACTTCTACAGTTCAACATTTTTACGCTGAAATGGAGCAGCATGAGCGAAAGTGGGCAGCATCCAAGAAAGCATGAACATAATGGGAGTAAAAAAATCATTTTTAGTGCCCCGAGCGCAATCACTCCATACGCGCATTCCGCAACCCTAAATTAATGAAAGTGAGGAGATGAAGATGAGTTGCAGTCAAAATATGAAATAAGAAAGAGTTTTTCATAGAAAATTTGAAAGCAAGGTGATTTCCCCGCTTGATCCCCTCTTGTGCATAAGAGGGTTCACTTCCCCTCCCCACAGGGGATCCCTTGTCCGATATTGTCTTTGTGCATACGGGGGTTCGCGCGGGGAGGGGAAGGGATCCCCAGCGGGGATCATTTCAATGGTTAAGCGCACATCCCCTCCCCGCGGGGATGTACGTGCATACGGGCCTAAGTTGAAGCTAGCTCTACAAAATGGTACTTGAAGCAAGGCAAAAGACTTCTTGGGAAGAGAGATATTAACGATCAAACGTTCGACACATACTTTTGGGACACCCTGTAGAGTGACGTATGTTGTGTTTGTGTAATTATGTGTATTGTTCTAGCAAGTGAGAGGTTTGTGAAATTTTTTTGAGAGAAGATCGATTTTGGCAATCATTCCTGTTTGCTCTGTTTTTTCCGAAACTTGCAGATTATGCACATTTTGAAGCTTTGCTTTATTAAAGGCTATCCCATACGTGATAGGCTCCTTACTGTCGCTGTAATCTGAAACGCGACATCATTTCCCTACGGACCTGGTATCTGGACTGGGAGAGAAAAGTCATTTTACTTGGATTTTCAGCATGTCTGATTGGTATAAAGAAAAATATCGCGCGTTGCTATCGGATATACAAAGTCTTTCATGGAACGAAGACGAAGGGGTATGGTTTGATTACGATCTGCTGCTGAAGGAGCAAAGGTGAAGAACCTTCATGCTTTCTTGTTCAATGTTTATTTCAATGTTCAGGAAGGCGTTTTATCCATCGAATGTGTTCCCGCTTTTACTGCCAGAGATGCAAGCTTATGCGGGGCGCGTACTCGGTTATCTTGAAAAGGAGGATGTTTTCAAGTACCCAGGTTGGAAGTCTATTTCGTCAAGAATTTCTTCGATTTTGTATGTTGTAGGTGGGATTCCCGCCACTCTGCCGGTGGAGTCATTCGAACAATGGGATTTCCCGAATGTTTGGGCTCCGACACAGCATCTTTTCATTCACAGTCTATTGTCATCGCAACATCCTGGTTTGAAGCAGGTGGGTGGTTACCGTTTCAGTTGAATGGTCGGATACTTTTGTCTTCAGAAAGCTATGGAGGAAGCTGAGAAATTCATCGCTACCGTCTACAATGGCTTATTCAATCCACAAGAAGGCGTGGTCGGTAAATCTTTGTCTGCCTGCCAATGGAGATGTCGCCTTATTCAAAAGTATCATTTAGCCAGCCGGTCTCTGGGAAAAATATGACGCTCGCAGCTCACAAGGCAAACCCGGCGATGGGGGAGAGTATATAGTTCAGGAAGGTTTTGGATGGACTAACGGAGTCGTAATGGACCTCATCAACATGATGAACGTTCAAGATGGTTTCGTACGCACAACAGGTTGCTTATTCTCTTCACAATGATTACTTCATCTATTCCGTCAGCATTGTAGGACTATCTTTGCTCCAAAAATCCGGACACTCATGGATTGTCATCTTAGCTATCGTAGTCTTGCTAATTTTAGCAGCATGGTATGTGTTTGCTTTTCCCCTATGCATTTCAAGGGATGCATATTTTAGGTTTGCCATTTGTGGGCATTTCGGATATGTAAGCCTCGTTCGTGACAAGGTGGTGTATGTGCGAGAGCCATCATCTCGACGTCTTCTAGAGGACAGTGATAGTAGCGAGTAGTTTTTCTCCACAGGTTTTGCTTATCAGTTATTGTATTTTCTGATGTGATCTTTCTACGGGACTGTGAACCTTTGTCTAGAAAATTCCGGGTCTTTTTTGCATGCTGGCGCATATCAATTTTGTTCATGTCTTAATGCGATATGTTGCTTTTTTTCGCCAATGTTTTTTTGCCAAGTTTATTTTTTATAAAAAATATTGAAAAGCAGTCAAACTTATTTTCTTACTTCTCTCTTCTTGTTCAAATATGATGGATAAAAACCTCAAGATGGATTTGCCGGTGGTTATATTGTCATTTCAATCTGATACAAATGTGCGTTCTCGTTTGCAACAACAACTGCTTGATAAATAACTCCATATCATGATAATCTCTTGTTTTTGATTGTTGACCACATCGATGTATTCCACACCAATGCGAAGATTCTTTTTCTGTCATGCGTTCACGTTTTATTGAAGTGGTTACTAAACGTGGTGAGCTTAGTGAGTGTTTGTGGGACGGCCAAAGCTAATGTGCATCCGTTTAGGATAATAATAATTTCAGCGAATGTTACCCACTAATCCACTATTTTCCAAACTGTGACTGTTAGGCCGTGGGATACCCCAAGCGATGTCAGTCGTCACGCGATCTGGAAATTTGCTAGATATCTTCAAACTTATTACTGGCAGCCTCCATATGCAAGGCATGTATAGCTTTCGTAGGCTGATAAAATGCCCTATTTTCCGTATATGTAGACCCTTACAATGAGTTATAAACAGTTGGAGTAATTTCAAATCGCGTCGCGGCTGAAGACGCGTGAATACGGGGCCCCATAACATTTCTGGCTGAAAAGTCCCTTTTGTAAAGTCACCTCCGCTTTCTAATATAATGTCCGAATCTAGACACCCAGATGATGGTTTGAAGCGGAATATACAGGGTGTCCCAAAATAATGTGCACACTGTTTGATTTAGAATAACTCTCTTATTATGAGGTCTTTCGAGAAGCGGTAAGAGCCGTTTTGTAGAGCTGGCTTCAACTTAGATTTGCAGTATAGAGAGAATCGCCGACTGCTCTCCATTACTGTAGGATTACGGTAGAAACTTGGAAGAGGGTTTTGGGCCATGAAAGGCCATATTTTGCCTCAGAAAGGAATCAAAATAGCCTGAAAACTTTAACACTAGGCCAATTAGAGTTTCTGATTCTAACTGTAAAGTTCTCAACTTATTATGATGCTTCGCTGAAGAGTTATGCGAGGTAAGCAGTAGCGGCCATTTTCTCAATGTTCTTAAAAAGTGCGGTTATACCGTTTAGAAAGCTTCGCAATCTTGAGAATAGTTGAGTATTAAACTCAGCGTCTCTAAAAACCTTATTACACAAGTTTTCACATGTTTCTGAAAATTTTTGAAATGGCAGCTTTTTCCACAGTGACACCATATCTTCCAAGTTTCTACCGTAATCCTACAGTAATGAAGAGCGGTCTGTGATTCGCTCTATACTGTAAATCTAAGTTGAAGCCAGCTCTACAAAATGGCGCTTACAGCTTCTCGAAAGACCTCATAATAAGAGAGTTATTCAAAATCAAACAGTGTGCACATTATTTTGGGACACCCTGTAGGTGTCACTTGAACATGGGAATCTAGGAACTCACTTCTGTGTCGCTCCATATTCCAAAGATATCCCATTCAGATGCACTTCCTGGTATCTCCACTATGATTCTTTTGTTATTCACTCCATCTCGTAATTCCTTTTCGCTGAAACACTTCAATAACATAGAACCTGTTGGGTAGTATTCTAATGAAAGGTCGAATTCAATGTACGTCATTTGAAGGCCATGTGTTTCTCAATCTTACCTTTCTCTTTATGCAATTATGTCGAATTTTGATTGATTTCATTCTGTTTCGATGTTTTGCAGCATGCACTTTCTTTCACCTTGATTCTTGTTATATCTGTTTTTGTAGCATGCAGGATCAATGGTAGAAAGTTGCGCTCTTCCAAGACTAATCGTATTCATATTGTTCAGAAAAATGCTCATGGGTAAAAGTAGTTCTTAGCAACATGGGGAACGACGTTTCGATGCCACCTGCTTGCTAAATACACTCCACTGTCGTTCTCCACTTCAACGGAATACTTAGACCGATTATGCAGCAGTGCACACTATGGTCTGTTCATTAGTCTACCGATAAGGGTCCTAGAGCAGCAAATGGTTTTCAGTACGTTCCCCTGACACCCTGACATCTCTTTTGCAGAGACTGTTCTTATCGGCTTTTTACGAAAGTGTAATTAAGACGCGGAACACTGTGGGATACACGACTGTCTGCTGGTTTTATCCAAGGCCCTGTAAACTAGCATATAAAAGCGCATTTTTTCTCCAAAAAAAGTCATACCAATGGATAACAGGACTGTGTGTTTTTAGTAGTAAAAAGTACTTGCTAAAAGCTAGATAAAAACATAAAAATTCCATTGCTTTATGTTTTACACACTATCCGGTCGGGGCTTGGAACTATACCGGAAGTGCAACTTGGTGCCCCTCGTCAGTAGTTCCCAAGAAAGCTTCAAAATTAGCAAAATCCGAAATAAAATATGACGTCAGCTACGAAAAGGATAAGTTTGCTTTGTAGAGAATCAGAATGCGCGGTTTTAACGGTCTTATCTATAGGCGGACTTCCATAACAGTGTAGATCTATTCGCAGGGAGGCTTGTTTTCTGTATCCGGTGGGGGCGGGCTTAGCTTCAAAAAAAGGAGCCTTATATGCTGAAGCCAAAATTTGCATCTCACGCTACTTAATCAGTTTGAAGCGTTTCTCAACACCCTCTCCCCTACTCGAGTAGGCAATCCGATTATGACAAGAACAAAGAGTGAGCGGAACTTTTGCATCTTTGTATTCATACTGGTAATGACATATACCAATGGTTAGAACCGGTTAGTGGTTGAGGGTCTTCAAGAGCTGGAGGTCATAATCATTGAAAGCTTGCATTTTCACTCAAAACATTGTCAATCATTATCGTCACAGCCTAGGGAAAAATCGTCCACATTGTGAAGAATACCTATTCACTGTTTCGTAAAGCCTTATCGTGCAAAAATTCTTGTGCCAATCATCCCTCTCGTGTACCTCTAACTGGAAAAGGAAATCAGCATTATTTTAGGAGTTAAGCATTTCCGAAAACGTCTTCTAAAGAGGAGACTTGGCATTTTGCATGCTTATTTTAAAAAGAACGGCTTTGTCTGTGGCACAGCTGCTTTTCAAATCGTGACACGGGATTTTGCGGCTTTTGCGCCCCCTCCCCCCCCCCCCCCTTCCCCACCCCAAAAGTCACAGCATCCTGCATCACGTAAAAGAAGACACCCTCTGGGGCTTAATTTGATCACTTCAAGTTTCTTAAAACTATCGTATGCAAGCAAAAAAGGAAAAATTTGGAGTTCAGCTATCGTTGTGACAGGCACCAAATGGATGCTTTGGTTGAACCATAAATGGAAGTTGGCTGTAGATTTAGTAAAGGTTAGGTGGAATTTCATGATGATTTTAACGGCAGTTAGTGCAATACGTTGACGACAACTTTTGCGCGTAAAGAGCGGCGATGAAGCACACTACAGCACTGCATCAATATTCAGTAATGTCCAATCTGTAAGGAATAAAGCAAATCAAAAACTTGTTAACACTCACTATGCACGTAGCCAGTCCCCCTCATTGGAAATTCTGTATTCAAGAATTCGCGGTGATCGGTTTTGTGTTTTGCTGTTTTCGAATACGAAATTTAGTGGTGTTCGATCTGAAGTGCATCATATTTGTCTGCTCAAATACTGCAAATTTTTACGAAAGGAAACATCACTTGCACAAGTTTGAATCCGGTTTTTTTTGCAGGAGTAAAATTTTGCACAGACTGTCTAAGGTCAAGAGATAAACTTACCAATGAGCCTTTTCATTGTGAAGTCTACGAGTTGTAGATGTGTGCTGTTGACTAAGTAAACGTTACCATCAAGCGCATAAGAAGCATTGCGGAGTTTACCCAAAGGTACACCGTAGTAGTCGTAGGCTGATGCACCTAAAATTAGGTGTTTTCCTTCTTAAATGGTCCCTGCATTTATTATCTATACTCAGTTTTTTCTACTGAAAATTGCTGAGATGTAGGCTAAAAAATCTGAAGTTTTTTGTAGTGAATTAACATGCAACAACATTTCTTACTTGTGCTGAAGTAGACGAGAAGTATAAGAGAACGCATTAGGTGAAAGTGATCAGTTAAGGCGTTGCACCGGATAACGCCGAAAAGGATGTGATCACATCGCTTCGCTTTCGCTATCAATCTTACAATCGTATTGTATACCTTATCCTGATTGTGTTTTGATCAAACAATCCCTTTCGAGTGGTTGTTTTCGCAAAAAACCGAGGTAGAATTATTAGGTCGCTCCGAAGGTTCTGTCGTTACTTTGCGCTATCTCAACGGATTTGTTTGTTTGTAATTTTATTAGGAAGAATAAGTCCTTCGCTTTAAATACAGTCTTGTTGAGTTCTGTTTCACACTGAGTGCAGAAATAAAAGTTGAAAAGTAAGATCATGTAAGCTTTGACCATTCTGAGTTAGGTCACCAAAAATCTGACACGCTGCAGAAAAATCTGAAATTGTCTGCAAATAAGTCGGCCTACCCTTAAAGCTGTGAAAAGTTTGTGCTGTTACATCTTTGTGAGAAGTCATGATTTTCGAGTTTACTATAGAAAACGCAAATTAATCAACTTGTCACTTTTCTCAAAAATCATATTCTCACAGAGACATCCAAACAGCACAAACTTTTCGCAGTTGCAAAGCGTAGGCCAAAGAACTCATGTGCAGACGATTTCAGATTTTTCTGCAGCGTTCCAGATTTTTGGTGACTAACTTAAAATGGTCAAGGCTTATATATGGTCTTATTTTACCATATATATATCTCTACAGTGTGAAACGGAAGCTCCAAAGGCAGTATTTGAAAGTGAGAGACTCATTCTTTTTGAACAAATTACAAGCAAGCAAATCCGTTGAAGTAGCGCAAAGTTACAAATTTTTGAAAATCAAATGACAGAACTTTCGGATCGAATAATATTAACAATTATCCGCTCACCTCATCTTTATGGAGCGAGATGAGATAAGATCAGCCATCTTTTTCCAAATCCAGGGTGCTCCTTTGGTGAATTTTCGCACTTCCTCATAAACACCCAAGCATCTCAACCTGATTTCTTTTCTAAAACGCTTCCACAACACATCTAGCTAACAGATGGCTGAAACCATCTGCGTTTTCGTCGAAGAATATTTTCATACTGTCCTCCTGATTCGCACTGTTTTAGAAATCGACAGTAATGGCTTCCAACAAGCATACCAATCATCAAAGTCAGAAAAGTCTTTTGCAAGGGTCATTTGTGATTTTGCTGGTGAGGCAGCATTGCTAGTGTGGTACAGTGAAAATTCTTCGGTCCTAACTATTGGATGTATGTCCTCGGAATGTGGGTCCACCATTTGATTTTGGTTGAGCAATTATACCGAGTCAATTAATTGTGGGAGCCGAGAGCATAATATGATGTTTTTTCGCTACTTGTAATTCTACCTCAGAAATATTTAGTGTTTGCCGTTTTATAACCAAGACTCTTGTTCTTCTTGCAAATAGTTTGTGAGCTACAACAATTGTCCAATTTTACGTTAACTTGTTATTGTTGGACTAAACATATTGCGTTAAGCATTTGTTCTTCAAAAATCAAATCCTTCAATTTTTTTCGATACTCCTCTTACTAGTTTTTCATTTTGCCGTCAGTTGCTGGAGTGAGCAGCAATGTTCGTTTAGCCTCTTTCTTATCATTACTCAGAGTGAGAACAGCATCTATCGTTTGCACATTTTTTCCACTCCTTGCTCAAGAAAAAGTAGAGCTACACACGTTTTTCTCCATTGCTTCAGGAATACGTATTCATCTGAAAACTTATTCTTTCGAAATACTCCCAGAAATACTTAAAAGCATCTCTTTGAAAGCTATGGTTCATGGTTTGCGATAATTCTATATGTCTTAAGTTACCTATTATAACTTGTTGAATAAAATAATACACTTTCGTTAGCATTTGATGTAGATGGAAAGTTGGAGTTAGAGCTGGAAAAAGGTGTTCTATCTATTCAGAGCAGTGGCGTACCGAGGGGAGGAAGGGGTGGGAGGGGAGGGGCGCCTTCCCCCTTCCGGAGATTCCCGAGAACGGGTCGCGAAATTTTTGGAAGTTACTTACGTAGGTTACAAAATTGCGCAAATGACTCGTCTGCACTTGTAAAAAATTGGAATAATTTTTAAAATTTTTTAAAAATTCATTTTAGCCCTATAAAAAAATTTTTTTTCTTGGGGCGGCTGATGGCACGCCCCTTTTTTCTGAAATTTCGGGGTTCTGAGCCCGCGAAAATTTTAGGGAGCATACCAAAAAAATTTTCGGAGTGCGTGGCTGACGCCCTTGTTATAGCGTTATCAATGAACGATGTGCCTGAACTGGTTTGAGCGAATATTCATTAATTTCAGTTACTTTTGAGTCTGCTCGCAATGATATCGCTTAGTGTCTCTATCTTTTTCTGTATTGTGTGTTTCCTCTGCTCATTACCTATAAATATATATGTACGAGTAGTAATGGCCGTCATAGAGATTTTCGTCGTGGCTTGGAGGGGGGGAGGACCGAATATCACCTTGCTGTTAATTTCGCTTTCCGGAATTCAATGCTCCTTTTTTATTTTTGGATTTGCAACGAACTGATTTCAGTTTATATATTAGAAAAGGAATTTTTTGCGCCTGTTCTATTACCAGAATAGCCCGCTCCCCTCCTTACTTATTCACCTTTTGTCCACCACCTGGTCATTTGCTTGGATCGAGTGGAGCTTACCTAAAATCTATGTATTACATCATTCTCTGAAGGAACGTATTTTTTCCTTGTTTACTTACTAATTTCTTCTGTCTGCGATCAGGGCCTCAAGTGTTGTTGGCATTGCCCTTTTCATTCGTTGCACTTCTGCCAGTCATCTTTTGATTGAGCGTCTACGGTGGCAACTGTCATTGTTCACCCATAGAAAGCGTCTGTCCTTGAAAAAAAATATTTTCTCAATACGCAGAAGTTCATGGTCAAGCCCCTAATAAGCGCATAATTTTTGTTCACTTCAAAAGCGCTTCCATTTTGCGGTCTTTCCTAGCGAAGTGTCTGATCATAGAGTTGTTCCTTATCTTGGGATTTTCAGATGAAGCTATGAATAGCTCCTCTGCTATCGCAGTCAGGTACTATAAAAACTACTGACCTTTCTATTGAATCGTATCTAAATGAACTTCTATCGTATATTCTTCCATACCGCAGCATGAAAGTGCGAATTTATGTTGCGCCTATTTCAGATGTCCTATTAGGAGGTTTGAATGGAAATGGGCACTTCAACCCATGAGCACCTTGACGAGGGATGCACCAAGGAGATTGCGGAAAATGTAAAAGATGGGTCCGTTGACTGTGAGAAGACCAAGTTTCTAGACGACTCAGCACTTGAGGTTTGCCATTTAATTCTAGTAAAAACATGCACAATGGGATATCTCCACTGCTCGCAAAATCTGGGTTTCTGCCGAATTTAATGAAATTTTCTTCAAGTGTACGCTGTTGCACGTTTTTCTCGTTTGCTTACGGAATCGTTGTGCTTTACAGATGTGACGTGAACAGTTTTCTTTCGGCAGCAGTTGTTGTCTTTTTACTGTGTCTGCAATGGTCTAATTCACCACGGCCTTTAATAATCTAAGGAGCAGAAAAGTGCGAAGTCTCGAATAAGCTGGTATTTGCATGGCTTGCTTTTCGGTCGTACAAAACTTCAAACTTTATTGGCTAGTTCCTAGTCTAAGTAATTCAGTGAAGTCATACTGAGCATTGCTCGTGTTATTTTCTGATACAGCAGTACTTCGATCCTGCTCCTATATAAGATTTCTTCGGGTGTAGGCCGTACCGTTATACTGCCAGACACTTCCAGGCACGAAAATGGTCGCGCGCAACAAACTCTGCAGCTGTTTTGCTAAGGCAGCGTCCACATTTGCCCATGTGCCGGAGTTGTGCCAGCACGTGCTAGCGCCGTGCCGAACCCACCTTGACGGTCCTCGTCGACATGGCGCTAGCATGGCGTTGTTGGCTGCATGGGTAACTGGATGCATTCAAGAGGCTGTGTAAGCAAGGTATTTTATGAAAAAGAAATAGTAAAAAACGAGAGTGGAGCAGCAAGTAGCAGGTAATGACGACTAAAGGAACTAAATTTGTCACAAAGCAGATAACGTCGCTTGATATGCAAACATAAATCAAGGAAAAAATTGTGGAATAAAGGTTCTCTTTTGCGGAAGCCTCGTCGCATCTAGTGTGGCAAATAAGAGAATACGAGAAAAATTTCAGCTTTCATATTTACAGATCGATGAGATTCCTGCATGGAGATATGTCATAGTCATCTTGGCAACGAGCGTCTCGGCCATAGGTCTATCATGTAGCTTTGCCTTTAATTTCGCAATTGTGTGCAAAGTTAATTCAACAGTGGATACATACGAACTTTATTCCAGGTAGGAAAATTTTAGAGCTAGCTGTAGATCTGATTGAATGCGTTCTTTAAGAACAGCAATGGAAATTTTTTTTACAAACGAGAGTTTTATAACCTCACTGAATTTTTTGTGCAGTGAAGTTTGCTTAATGATATCGAGTTTGTAAGTTTATTGTTCAGAAATCCTTCACACTCGCCTGTCATGCACTTTTCCACAATTGAATCGAGCTTACTTTATTCGGCATATCCGTTAGGAAATTTTTCTATGCTTGTCATTATGCTCTTGACGGGTGGATTTTCACGGATGAGATGGACCATATTTGCTGCTATTATCGTTTCTTCATTAACAACCCTTCTAGTACCCCCTTTATATGATTGGAATGTTCATACTACGTTGATCTTGAAGTGGGTGTTTGATGAGTATAAAAAACTCCGTAAAATAGAATAAACGCATCTGGCTTTAGGATAATACAAGGTGCGGCAGTTGCTCCTACAGTACCTCTTGTGGGCCATGTTACTGCGTACTGGACTCCAAGAGCAGAAATGGGACTATTTGTATCGTTTTTGACCAGTTATTCTCAGGTTTCTCATTGCTTATTGCTATTTCTTCTGTGATTTATTCAAAGACCTATGGAGTCAAAGCAGTATGGTTATTATTTTTATTTTACAAAAATCAGGAAGGAATGACATGGAGTGAACCAGGATTTTGCCGAAAATAAATGCTTGCCTTATCATGAATGCTTGATCCATAAACTGACTTCAATTTTGTTTGCACGTATTTAATGTGCATAATTGTGCAATTCATTGCTCCTCTTTACAGATAGGATTATTTTATTTGATGGCTACTTCGGGTATTACTTGTGAATACTTTGCATGGCGTGGAATCTTTTACCTAAATGGAATCTCTTCTCTGCTTTTTGGAATTCTCTGGGCATTCCTCTTCAAGGATCACCCCTCTGAACTGAAGCAGTCTAGAAGTGTATTGGTCCAGGTTCGCAATTAGCCATTATACTTTCACTGATGAAATGTTAAAGATTTGAGGAATATGATGCTTTTAGGACGAGAAAACAGAGATTGTGGCAGTGAAGCGCCACGAGCTAGTACCATACAAGTAAAAGAAATCATTTTCATTTTCTTATGTGCTCAATACTTACGCTCAGTTTTAGAGCATTCTTCACATGTTTGCCTGTGTGGTCATGTCTCGTAGCAGCCTTTGGCAATTTCGGAGGAATTTCACCGTTCATGACATTTGCACCTGCGATTTTGAAGAAGGCTGTCAATTTAACGGATATTGCGGCATCGCAGTATAACACTTTTTCGTTCATACTACAGCTATTTTTGAAAATATTCAGCGGTAAGTGAATATACTTGTTAGCGTTAGACTGTGGAACAGTAAGGTGTACGAAAATTTTTTGCATGATCTTGAGAATTTGCAAGAGTTGTCTTAGTCATTGGTTCATCCATAGAATGTGCAAAATAACTGATTAATAATTAATAATCTATTTGGTAAAATAATTAATAATCTATTAGGTTCAAAAGAAAAGAATGTCCTTTTTTATGGCAAAGCAATAAGAGGGGTTCAATTTTTTGTGAGGGATACCATTCCACAATGCAAAGACAACTTGTTGCCAGAAATCATGATTTACCAAAGTTTGGAGCCAGAACATAAGAGCAAATCATGATGCCAAAAGTCGGATTTTTGCCCTAAAAAATTCTACGATCCTCTCACTTGCTCTTACATGTAACTGATACTTACAATTATCTAGGTATACTTGCTATGTTTTTTATGCTTGGATATCAAAAAAATTGAAAAGCGAAAATGGCAAACTCCGCCCCCAGTGATGCTGAGCTCTTAACGTACATGTATGCCATTTTATACTACAAACCTATAGATTTTGATAAGGTTTTGGCCTCGGATACACCTTACTTCTTGAGAAATATCAATTTTAGCGAAAAAAAAAACCGAAAAAAGTGACATTCTTTTCATTTCAACTTGACATGTTTCTGCTTGCGCAGGACCACAAAGGAAGATAAACAGTCGAACAGTGACTTAGCCTGAAAATAATTTTGTGATTGTTGCATAATCGAATTAGTTTAGGTAAAATGTCTGATTTATGGACGGCAATAAATGAAACAAATAAAGTGCGCTTGTTCAACACCTTATCAATGGGAATAGCTGGCGTATTATGTATAACGACTGCTTTCATTCCTGTGGAGAATCAGGTGAGCTGTTCTGGGTGTGTGTTGAGAAACGCGATTTTATGCCAGCTGGACAGCAATCACTAAAGATTTATGACGTTCTGAAATATTAGAAATTTAAAGTTTTTTTTTGTAGGTTAATACGTTCACATACGAAGTAGTTACGAATCTTTCAAATCAAAGCGACAAAGTTTTGAATCAACCTAATATTTCCTCCAATTTCATTGAACTCAGCAAGTGATAACTTCTAGATAGCTAGTAAGCCAGCGCAGTTTGTCTGATGCTTTTTGACGACTGGTGTAGCACTAAACTTGAATTTTGACTTGGTGACAGCCAGAAAAATCGCGAAATCTTGGAAAATCCTCTTGAGCATCTCCTTTTGACTGGAGCAAAACGCTGGCTTTACGAAGATCGCATGTAGACTAAGTTATTGGTTTCTTCTTCATTTGTTTATGCAAGTCAGCTTCGGAAAAGCATTTACGAAGTGAAATAACATTGATGAAATTAATCCTCTATTCAGTCCATTATACAGTTATATTATATTTATATATTTCTATCCAAGTGTTGCTTTGTTACGATGAAAGTCATAGTTCAGGTCATTTGCGCTGTCTTAATCACACTACTGCAAGGAGTTATAGGATTTAATTCAGCTGGGTATAACAAAGCTGCGGTTATTGTCGCCAGGTATTCATTTTCTTCTATCTATTTATAATCCTAAAGCTTAAACTGGCATAGCCTTTCACTTCTTCTTCTATAAAAGGTATTTTTAAGGCAGCATGCTCATCTGCTTTTGACCTGCTTTGGGCTCATTGTGACTTTTGTCACTTTGGTGCAGCCATTCATAGGTAAGAACCCAGAATCTCTAGTCATTGTAAAAGCTGTGTGCATTTTCAGTTCAACTCGTGGCCCCTGACCATAGCTGGGACCAATGGTTTTATCTGTTTGTTGGGCATGGTCTCGTTCTTGTTATAGCGAATTTATTCTTTTGTCTCACTATCAAGGCGAAACCGGCAGCGTTCACACTGAAATCTGATTCATCATAGGTGGAAGTGGTTCAAATTTCCAATTTCTTTTTTCCTTGATCATTCGACTTGACCGCTGCTTGCTGTTAGGTGTAAAGCGTAATATGTATGTACTAGGAGTAGGCGTTGTTTGTTAATATTGTTTGGATAATCTATTGTTTTATCGTGCCTTATTTGTTATTCATTGAATACAACAGTATTCAGTGTATCTCACAAAACAAAGCTATTTACTCATCTTCTCTTCGTTTAGCAGTGTAAACTTTACTTTATTGAATAACCTGAAACTATTCAGTTCGATTGTAAAAATGGACTTCTTCACCATAATTTCTTTTCGAACATTTTTTTTGCGTCATTTAGACCATATAGGTGTCCATATCTCGCATAAAAAATGGTTTCATCGAAAGTTACAAGCTTGATCCTTGCTGGTTATATGCCCTCTGCGGGGCACTGAAAGACGACGATATTGGGGGAAACTTGTCTGTTGGATCCCCTCCGGGAAAAAATTCTTAGAAATTATGGCACAAGAAAATCATGTCAGGGGGTTCAGTATTGACTGAGGAGATATATGAATATAAAGCTGATGAAGGCGAGTGCAGGTAACTTTTGCTAGGTTTGTACTCAACAGGTCGAAAGTCAAAATGACTGTTTTATGCAACTGATTTTCCTTGAATAAAATGGAAGCGGTTATATTAGGCTGGCGCAAAAGTAATGCTCGTTTTGCGAGTTCCCACTTGGACGTGCTATAACTCTCCAAAAATCTATATTTTTCAACGCTATAAAAACCATAATAAGCAGCAAACCTTTCGCAATACAGCGGCACATCCATCTATACTCAGATCACAACGCAGAAAAATATGAATCGACAAGCAAAAAAGTTCTTTTTCCGAAACCTCGTTTTCAACTGATCATAACTTCTTTCAAAACTTGTTAGTATAAATGACAAGTGGCGTATCTTGTAGCCTCAAGCCAGTACAAACGAAGATAGAAAGAACTTGAACAAAGAAGATCTGCAAAAAGAAAAATTGAAATACAAAATTGTCACTTTTTCCAACGTATTTTCACAGGCCTCAAGTTCCCAAATTATGTTGAGGCGTGTTGATGTTAAGGCGAGGCACACATGTTGAGGCGCCGAAATCTCAGTCTAGGTAGCTTCTAAGAAAATAGTAAAATGTTAAAAACCAATAGTTAAAAACCACAAAACAAGTTGTTAATGTGCGTAAGTAGACAGCTCCTATTGCATGCAGTAGCTGAATTTTCAAAAGGGTGCGTTCATTCGCGCTTAAATTCTGGCCAGAAAAGTAAAGGCAACGAAATTCTGATTTAGACTGCGGTCGTTCGAAGCCCTGTAAATTTCTAACGAAAGAGGCTAGAAGCTCATTTCAACCACCACTGAATAGATCATGAAGAGAGCTTCTTGATAGTATGCTACGTTTCATCCAAAGAAGGAACTTTGACTGGAGAGAGTTGTTCTAAAATAAGGGCTAGAAAAACGCGCTTAACCTTTGCACAAACCTGATACATGGAGAAATTGATATGGCTCTAAAAATGGAAGACTCAGAATATAATATAGCTTTACTTCGCGCTGGTAAAATTATTCCATGCTTTAGTCTTCAGTCAAAAAACCTAAGAGCTTTCTGCAACAAAATGTTCTTCAATAAACTAGTCACAAGAAGATGGATAGGTGAGGCCAGTGATTTTTTAGTGAAATCTTGAACATTTGCCGACAGGACTGTCCTACGATTGAGAGGGCACCATATGGGCTGAAGTAAAATATGCGAAAATGATAAATCTCGTTTACAAGGAATAGGAAGGAACCAAAGGCCAGTTACTGTCCTAATTCACCAAGCGACATAATCTACCGCAGCTATTGTCGGTTCATTTCGTTCTTCGTTCAATTTGCCGTCTGTCTAGTTTATTTAATCTGAGGAACATGTTGCATTATATGGAATGTGAATAACAACTTGACATCTAAGTGAAGCACGAAGTGAAAAACAGACCGAGCCAAGTCATGACTCAGAAATCCCACGAGGACACTTGCTATGTGCGGTTCAGTTATGCTTGAACTTTGCTTTTTGTGAGCTGGCCAGTTTGCACAAGATTTTGAATGGTTATCATATCAGGGTTGAATTTAGCTCTTTGATAGCGGTTGTTTTTGACGTTTTCATTGTGTAATATATCTGATCTGATCTTATACATATTGCACTACATGTATGAGCGCGATAGTGCTATAAAAGTGTTGTTCTCGAGAAAAGAATTTGTTTTGAGAGGTATGTATATGTCGGATATCCCGAAAAGAACGATTGCCTCCTGACTCTCTAAAGTTAACTTAACCACGAAAAGTTCGTGCAGAAGTGAACGTGTTGTGTGAACCACATGTATAATTCAGTTACTATATCTTGGTGATATTAACGAGACGGAGCTTTGTTTTTATTTTTTAATTTGTAATACTCACAATTGCATTTCCTTGTCCATCACCTTTAATTTTTTATTTTTATCAGATCGCAGTGGCGAACCGAAATGACATGCGTATCATTAGATGCGCCCTGATGAGCTGATTCCAAATCTGCCTTTCCTATCTGCTACGAGCTTCTCTAATAAAAGCTGTGAGCGTTTAAATGCCCAAATTTAGCAAACATTTGGAGCCACATCTTCAAGAAATACTTGTTCAAAGAAGCTTGATCATGTGTTCGGTGAATGTATGCATTTCTTGTAGTCAGTGAATTCAAAATCATGCAAAGTGATCACTCCTAAATTAGTTTCTAAAGCGCATTGCGCATCACATTTCAACAATCTCACATCTTTAAACGCCCATAGCTTCTTCTAGAGAAGCTTGTAGCAGATAGGAAAGGTAGATTTGGAATCAGCTCATCAAGGCGCATCTAAGGATATGCATGTCATTTCAGTTCGCCACTGCGATCTGGTATCCTTCCCTTGTTAGAACGTGCAGGGAAAATTATCACTTTTATTTGTTTGAAGCCCTCCAATGCACTACGGCGTCCATCATTCTGGTTACTCTTTCTCTAACAAACCGCATTTATTTTCCAATTGCTACTTTTATAATTTGAATCAATCGACTTCTCTTTTCGACTCCACAATATAAGGTGTTCTGCAATTTTGTAGACTCAAATGCTAGTAAGTCCAGTTGGCTTCAAAAATAAATTGGCTTTCCCTACCATACCGCAAACGTTTCGATTTAGCTGCCGGCACTCCGACTCGCACTCTGAATTGGCTCATCCCGGGCGACTAATGCCTGCTCCATCTCTCGCAGATGTTTTTGCTCGTTAAGAATTATTTGATAAGTAGAAACGCGTTTTGTGCTGGTTGCTCTGAACGTTACCAATACGCCAGTCGCTTTACGGCAGAATGGAGTGCCCTTTGCAAAGCTATCAACATTAGCCTAGAATATGTTCCGCATGCTCATTTGCGCGCAGTCTTGTTCACATCCGCTTTCACATTCCTTTTGCGCGCAATTTTTTCAGCTCACTGGATATCGTTACGAGCTGCAACAGTATTTCAGAATTATAATGTTTTCTTCTGCCGTGAAACTGCTAGGCAGGAAAATTGAAGAGTTTTTAGTGCAAGTACTCAAAATTCTATCAAACAGCTTGCCTATTTTGTGAGACGCTTGCACTTCGAGGTGACGTCACCGATGTCGGATGGACCCGTGTGCGCGGTGCTCATCGCTTGAGGTAAAAGACTAGCAATACGCGGCTCTGCTGTGGCAAGTTTGATGCGCTAATCGAATTTTTGATTTTTTTTCAGTTTCAAAAGTTTTTGCCACTCGAGAAGGTGCCTAAACGAATTTGGATCCCATTGCTCTCTGGTTGCGCTAAGAGAGAATCCTGTCTTAAGGTCACCACAATCAGAAATCTATCAAATTAGAGGCCTCGAGCACAAAGAAGGCGCAAGCCGACTAGAGCATGTGCCAGATGGGGAGCGTGTCCGACGGCTAGAGACTTATTGGATGAAGCCTGAGGGTCGGCTATCGAGCGCCTAGGGTGGAGAGAGTGAATGCGGGCGGACGCGTAGCAGTCAGCCCAAATCTGGAACGCGGCCATTTGCATATTCGCTTAACCCCGTACTCCGGATACTCTGCCATGTCTGCTTCGATGTGCAGCCGTCAGCTGAGCTCATCTCAGCAACACTGAACTCAGCCGTCGTTCCTCGGGCATCTATGTTATTAGCCTTACAGCCGTCTGCGCCGTTCATGCGGTCCCTTCCAGGACTTCTGCATTCGCCACCTCCCCACATTCATAACGTCATTAGCTTGTCCGTCTCACTATTGCAATGGCGTTGTCGTGGTTACTGTAGCCCACACTCATATCGTATCCTGGCCTACGTACCAGAGCACTCTGGCATTCGTACTTTGACTGATAAATACCGTACGACCCCTCTGCTACCAGAGGGAAAGCTATCACTATGTCTCGCGCTCGCAATAAGAAATTTGCCAGTAATTCTACCTTTGTTTGTGAACTAAGCCTTAGAAGCCCTGCGAACACAACGATGTGGCTTTTTCGATGTGATGAATGGGGGATCCTGATGCTTCGAACAGACGCTTCTATTCCCACGTCGAAGATTATGGCGTCGCAGAACATTCGATTAAGCAGAATGTTGCGCCTGCTTGAATAACTCGCGCTTTGTTTGGTTTTGAATTGGAAATTATATAGATATTGAAGATTTCCTTACTAAGCAATTTTCTGGAAGAATTTTCAACTCCACTGCACTTTGAAAGGCAATTAGCCTGGAGCTAACGTCGATGAATGTTAAATGTTCTATCGATTTGGATGGCTCAGAGAGACTGGCAGTGCTCTTAGAAAATTCATGTGCTCTTTACTCTTCTCCATACTTTCTACTGCTTCTTCTCGTGTCTGCTCTTCTGCCTAATTGCTTTCGAAATTATTGGTAAAGTGTAGGGTTGCAGGTGTTTGGATCGTTCATGATTGCGTCCAGCAAACGGGCGTAATCTTCTATGCTTAAAGCTCTGAAGGTAAGCATTTTTTGCATCTGTAGAAACATGACCAAATAACCTTACTGCATTCCTTTCCTCTAATCTTAACAATTCATCGATAATCTGCCATTTTTGCTTATTCTCCTTTCTTTTCGAAAAACACGTAGCCCGGGCGAAAACAAACATTTTAACGGCATCTGCTTTCCTTCTCGCTCACGCAGAAGCCGTAAGTAACACTCGAAAATGGCTGGCAATCCAAGAACTACACAGAATCTCTTAAACGACTATTTTTGCCCCGAACACGCATCGCGTAATTTTTAAGGAGGTGCTAGGAGAGATCAACACGAAGCTGGCTGCTGTGAATGATGAGCTGAACGCAAAAATGGCTGAAAGTGTGAATAATACACGACCAGCTCAACAGGCTCAATATTGTGGACCGTACAAGTTGGAGAAAACCCTTGGGAAAGGGCAAACTGGTAAGATATATTTTTGCATTTCTTCACTCATCTCATCACTTGCAACAAAATGAATGCTACTTCCTTTGACATTTTCCTACATCTAGTGCCCTTCTTCTTTTTGAACTTCATGAATACATTTACGTTGGATGAGTTTATGATTTAAGACGACTTAAGTCTTATGACTGACTTTGACACTTAAGACGCTTCGCATGTATCGGTCAGACAAAGCTATATATCCCATCCAAAATATCTACTATTGAGCCCCAAGAAATATCATAACTCACTTCCATTGTATCATACCTCCAACATTAGTATCATCCAGCTGCTAGGTGTTCTGACTTTGTTTTTGATGAATTGGAAGCTCTCGGACTGAATGCATTGTTATGAGAAAAGTTCAGCGGGCAGATTCAGAACTCTTGATGACCATGAGAGAATGGAAGACTCTATGATTCTCCCATACCGATTGTCTCAAGAAGAAGGCCTCACATGAGAAAAAAAACAAAGCAAGTAATTTAGCCCCGACCGGATAGTGTAAAAACAGTTACAAAAAATTGTCGTGAAATTTTGGTATCTTGGCAGTTATATTCGAACTTCTCATTTGTTTCATTATATGTTGATAGCGTTCCATTTTTGTTTTGTGCGAAAATTACTCGTTAGCTAGGCGTCTTAAAATCGCAGTCCCATCTGCTTAAGCTTCTTTGCAGCAGCTGAGTGTTTTCGCACGAGTATCTTTCTGATGAAATTTTTTCGTCTCATTTCCATTTTAGTGCAAGACTGAAATCGTCTGTCGAACCATTGACTGCATGAGATGTTTCGCAAATTGAAGTCTTCGAAAGATGATGTGATGCGCCCCTGCATCGTCTCCGTTAAGTAGTTGTTATTGTCGCGAAGCAATTCCGATGACGTCGCCGCAGCAGAAGTAGCCTGCGCGCGCGGCGTCTCGCCTTGCGCTGTCACGTAAAGAAAATCGAAGACGGCAATACCAAGAGGGGAGAGGGAAAACCCGAGCACATCAATCACTCTTCTCAGCACTGCTCTCGAACTCGATGGCTCTCCTAGGACTTAGCCAGGCAGAGTTATGGCTCACGCATGCATGCCCGCCGGAATCGTGAACCTTTCACACTTGCGCGTCACAATGCTCGAGAACCCTAAATTGCGATTCTTCGCAGAATTTCTTGCGTGGAAAGGCTCAGCTGTATCGGGGCGATCTTTTTTGAGAACCACTTTGCATTTTGTGTGATGGGATCAAACATGCTTTTGCCAACGATCGTCAAAGCGTTTTCCTGTTGCGGATACTGCATTGCACAATTGGGGAACACAAACAATTCAAGCTTTATCAAGAGCCATGGGTTTTATAAATACAGTTAAACATTTGCGTCCTTAGCAGCTGAGGGATGCGCGCCAACCACAGGCGCAAAAGATATGGCACTCAATGACGAAAGTGAAAAGAAAATTACATCACCACAAAATAGGTGCATTTTTCAGGTCTGGTTAAGACGGGAACACATTGTATTACGGGACGGAAGGTTGCGATCAAAATTGTTAATAAGGAAAAACTAAGCGAATCTGTCTTGCAAAAGGTAAGTCAGCTATTTTTTGTTCTACAGTCTTCAAGATCAATTTTCTTCCTTATTAAGTTTGTTCGTGATACTCAAAGCTTTTAATCGCTATGTAAAAATCTGTCATTTTTTAAGCCTTGTATCAATTTTGGCAAGCCTAAAAATCATTACCCTTGCATAAAACGTTGTGATAGTGTACTCGAGAATTGAGCGCTAGGCTTGTGCCAGAAACTAGCTGTCCTTGCGCTCCGTTTTAGCGTTCCCACACCAATGCATCGGCGAGAAATGAGCATGTGCGAGAATTAGTGAGCATAATAATTATTCGCATCGATCGTAATATGCATTAGAAGGCGAGAGGGGGTCATTGGCTAATAGAGGTCTCGGATGACGAGCCCGCGAAACCACCACTAGCACTTCACTATGCGCTTTCCGGATGTTGGGGGAAGGGTTGGGGGAGAGGGGGGGGGATAGATAAGGATGACTGTTTAGGACAAGCGAATGTTAGGGTGGGGTTGAGATGTTACGCAGTTTGACGGTACTGGAGTCCCCCCTCCCCTCGCTTCCTCGGAGCCTGAGTATAATTGCCCCGCAAACTCGATGAACTGGATTGTTCCAGAAGTTCTGTCCAATAATTTGCGCATTTTCTGACTTAAAGCATGAGAACTCTAAAATTAATACTTTTGAACAAATCAAAGTTTAGACATTCTCTATGTGGGAGGCAAATTGTGAGTAGGATTACAGCTTTACTCTTTATAATGTATTCCATAGGTAATTTTGCAGAAAATGCCGTAATGTCCTTTATAGAACCTTTTTTAGCCTAAGTGCATTTTGATACCTTGACTTTTGAGCTTGAAATTTCATCAAAAGGTTCTTCATCGACGTTCAATAAGCACTGGAAAGAGCTGAAAAAGTGCTTCTAGATGTATCAAAATACTGCAATGAGTGCAGAATTTCAAGGAAATAGCTGCCTTAAAATAAAGCAACTAATCGGGCAAAACTTTTGAAACAACTTAGTGCGATTCATGTTATTTTCCTTCCGTCTAGATTTCGGTTCATTTTCTTTCTTTCACGAGTCGCATAAAATTCGTTTTTTTTTTGCAAAACCTACATCCACTCGTGTTTTAGAATTCTTTTTGAGGTCACTCATTTGCCTATCAAAACTTTCTGAAAACGCCATTAAAACTCCGAAGCTCCTCAGATGAAGAACCTTTACGTGATTAGGCAAAGAAACACCTGCTTTCCATAAATATAAGTTTTATGAACTACAAATGTAGAGAAGTTGGAAACTGTAGAGTCAAATCAAATTTGTTCTGAGCTGATAGTGTTTCTACTTTACTGAAGATTTTTTGCCTACAGATTAATCTAGAGCTTCACTATTGACCACGTTTACTTCCTCAACCAATTAGCTTTATCTTACAGGTGGAGAGAGAAATAGCGATTATGAAGCTGATAGAACATCCGCATGTATTACACCTGTATGACGTTTATGAAAACAAGAAATATTTGTGAGTAACTGAATTATTCGGCTTAGACTTATCCCTTCATCTACCGCTATAGATATTTACTGCTCGAGCATGTTAGCGGCGGTGAACTCTTTGACTATCTCGTCCGGAAAGGTCGATTAATGTCGAAAGAAGCACGGAAGTTTTTTCGGCAAATAATATCCGCGTTGGATTTCTGTCACGCACACAATATATGGTAGCTGGTTTTGTTTGTCCTTCTGGAACCCATATAGTCTTACATAGTCACATTCTAGTCATCGTGATTTGAAACCGGAAAATCTGCTGCTCGATGAGAGAAATAACATCAAAGTGGCCGATTTCGGAATGGCTTCGCTGCAAGTCGAAGGCTCCATGTTGGAAACAAGCTGCGGATCACCCCACTATGCATGTCCAGAAGTTATAAGGGTTTGTAGAGCGGTAGAGAATTTTGTAGAGAAATGATTATAAACGATGCATTTCCAGGGAGAAAAGTATGATGGTCGAAAAGCGGACGTGTGGAGCTGTGGTGTTATTTTATACGCCTTGTTAGTGGTAAGTTCACAATAATATCGATACTGACACCAGTTTTCTTAGAATTTCTTTTGAGCCTCAATTTTATTTGGCAGGAATAGCAGATTTTTCCGCGCTAAAGATTGCTAAGACAGCACAATCGCCTAATATTCTCATTACATTTTCTCAGTCCAAATGAGATTTATTATAGGGAGCTCTCCCATTCGATGACGATAATCTTCGAAATCTATTAGAAAAAGTCAAGAAAGGAGTTTTCCACATCCCTCACTTCGTTCCAGCTGACGTGCAAAGCCTTCTGCGCGCCATGATTGAGGTGGATCCAGCCAAGCGATACTCGGTAAGCATCGCAATTCATCTTCCGGCATGGCTTTCCCGGCTCCTTCAATGTTTTTTCTTTTTTTTTTTAGTTGGCAGATGTATTCCGTCATCCGTGGGTAGCCGGAACCGCAAAGAGCGAACCGGAACTCGAACTGCCAATGTCACAAGTTGTCCAGGTAGCTAATAGCAAGTCACTTATAATACCCACTATAACCAGTTCCTGCTTGCGAATGTCACTTTCTTGAACTCATCATTCTCAATATGCTCAGAAGGCTATGCTTAATATGTTCTCCCCAGAGCAGTAAGCTATAGGGCAAATTTTTTACGTTCAGACGCATGTTATCCCGAACGAGGAGAGTATCGATCCGGATGTATTTCGACACATGAATAGCCTGGGATGTTTCAAGGACAAACAAAAGTTGATAAATGAACTACTTTCAACAAGGTGGGTGAGAGTTTGGCTGGTTCCTCGTGTTAACCAGTGACGAAGTAATTCAACCAATTGTCAAACTGGTACATTTAGTGACATTTTTCGCTTCTCTCATGCTTTGTTAGAGGGTTAATTTATATAGATGTATTTAATACCCCACGGCATTTCCCTTGAAATCAAGAGTTTCATCATTATTCTATTTAGAAAATTATGATCAATTTTCTTAATGGTAGGACAAGGTAAAATTAGGTTGGCTAATAAAAAATTTCGATCGCTTTTGCGTTCCACAGATGCTGCGGACAATTTTTTGCTCAGTATAAAGTATTCTGGAAGGAGCACTTCAATGAACAGTGGAGCGTAAAATCTTTCAGAGTAGAATTTTTTTTGCAATGAAAAATTCGCAAAGAAGTGGGAAAATCCAATTTTCTCATTGTGCGCAAATATGAGAAAATATGGTTTTTTGGGTCAAAGAAATTTGGAATAGCAGATCACAATATTTATTGACATTCGCTAAGTGGAGAATTCTTATCTGTACCCAAATACCAAATTGCTATGCTCTTCATTAGAGCATGAAAACAAAGCTTAGAAGCTCGCAGAATTGAGCTTTTGCAGTTCTGGCCATTTTGGGACATAACTGTCTTTTCTTAATGATTGAAAATTCTGAATAGTTGGTAAATTATTAGAGGAAGCTTTGAACTACTTATCCACAAAAGACCATGGATAAAGAACAACTAGGAAAGTTTTTATGAAGATTTTCATGCCAAAACGAAATTATTTTGTAGCCAATCTAATGATCTCCAATAATCGCTTATCGAATACCGGAGCCGTTGACTTATCCCTCAAAAATTATATAAGCTTCATTTGTTGAAAGCAATCTCCGTCAGCAGAGTGCATTGGGCTTTGCCCATTTCTAGTTTTGATTTATCTCATCTGTTCCAACTGTTCGGCAACAGTATTATTTTTTCATACATAACTTTTATTGTAATAGCGAAAATTTCTTGCTTCATACTCATTTATGTAATCGTGATCATTCATAGCATAATCATAATTATAGTATCTTATAGAAAATTTTGTCAGAAATTCATGTAGCAGATTCCGAGGCTCATCTTAGATATGTAAGTATAAATGTGGAATATGATGACTAAACAACACTTTCTTTCGATATCTTTCTCATTTTCCTATGCAAATTTAATGGTTACTAACGAATTCTATATGCGATACAATGTTTCACTGCTATACTCAAGAATAATTCTACCATTATAACCAACATTCTCGACTGAACAGTGTTCAAGATTTTTTGCTCATAGCTGTCATTCATTTCCCATGCTTACTCGATTTACAATGAGGCACAAGCATAAAACCGAAGTCCGATAGCAACAGTTGCAGCCTTATGAAAAAGTGTTCTAATAGGTACAACAGGAACTGCCTAGTTGTTAAAAATGGTACATACATGAGTGCAGGAAAGTCTTGAGGAAATTTGCACTTACATTCTTGAATGTTTTTTATAAAACTCTGGTGTAAATCATTGTAAAATTCACGACTATCATTACACTTATCCACACCAAAGACTATCCGTTTCAATTTTACTTATGGCCCCTACTTCAGGCACAATACGGAAAAGATGGTCTACTTTCTTCTTCTTGACCGAAAAAGGCGACGTCCTGCTCAAGAAGATGAGACAGAGATTGTTTTGCGGGGAAATACGCAAAACAACGATCCTCCCAAAAAGCGAACAGATTCAGCGAGAGCTAACCGCTACGCCGTCGGCAGTATAGCCGATGGTAGCCCTATAAATCCGCGAAAGACATATGGGTCAGTTATTATGCTCCTTTGAGGATGATTAGAAGTACTCCTATATACTTGCTTTTTGTACGTTTTAGCAGAGGAAAAGTTTTGCAGGCGACACCGATCAGGTCGACACAGTAGCCTTGGGGGCTCACCAACGGAATCACCGCGGTCGTCGTCTAGGGATCTCTTTTCCAGCTGTAACAGTGGGGCCTACTCTGCCCGTACTCAAGAAGATAGGAGTCGATCATCTGCCAGGTAATCAAGACATTAAATTATTACAAGTTTATGCATGGATTCTCTAGCGCTTTTTCAACAACTGACAGATAGATGGCTGATTTCAGAAATACTAATAATTACCACTACTACACCCAACCGGTTGATCCTCAGACTTTGGCTGAAGCTGCTCGTCATGTGCGAGCAGTGCGGCAAGAGCAGGAACGACGCGAAAGCCGCGACGCTCGCGAGAATCGCCCGAGTCGTGACAGCGGCAACGGTCGCGACAGACCGGAGAGCCGAGAATCACCTAGGAGCGATGTTGTGCCCGAGGTTGAGCAATTTGTTTTTTTTTCCTTGGTCCTATAGCCGCATCGCTGAGTGTGCGCTGTTAAGGCAACAAAATGCCCGTCTCCACCGAAAATGTCGGACTCGATCATCAGCACTGGCCTTGGTTCCACGACTTCCTCCACGAACAGTTTGTTGACCGGAGGTGAGGAGTTCAGTCCGTTTTGGCTTGCATACCCCACGCTTGCCACCTGCCGATCGATGAAAACTGAAGGCAGGAAGTACAGCATTTTCCCATGTACCAAGCTTTTTGAGAAAATTGCCTGGGAAATCAATATGAGACGCTCAAGGAAAATGACCTGAACGTTTTGAGGGGAAGACTACCACATTAGTAGAAGCTGATTTGGAAAAACCCGCCCTGCTTTAATATACTGCAGGAATACTTATGAATATGCTGAAATCTTGGGGGAAAATCACTTTTTTGTTTTTACTTCAAATGACTATTTGCGATTGTTGAGTTTCTTTTCGTCGACCCAAATAGCCATTTTTCAGGAAGTAGTCAAGCAAGCCTGAACACTTCTTCGGGTCCATGGAAGTCGAAGCTCACAAACATCAAGAACTCTTTCCTTGGCACTCCACGATTTCATCGAAGAAAGATGTCAAATGGAACTGCTGAAAGTGATGGCGAAGACAGCCATATGATTGATACTACTGAGTAAGTGACTCAGTAATTTCGTAGTTCTTATTTACTGAAAGAAGCTTTTCATGTTTTTTTTTTCAAATAATCCATGGGAGTAATGGAGTTGATGATTAGGGTAACAAGGAAATTGACTTTATAATTCTTCTCTCTGCAGATAGCTTATGTTAGCGGTACGTTGACGTTGTTATCAAAGCAAAGATTGAGATTTAATTGACGCTAGAATTATTATTTTTTTCAAATATAATTTTTTTTCAGTTTGGTGAAGAAATCGTGGTTTGGTTCATTGACGTCGAGCATCAGCGTGGAAAGAGAAGACACTCACTGTGTGCCAGTGCAAGGCAAAACTTTAAACGCCATAAAAGCCGAGCTCATTCGCGCATTCCTCACGGTAATCGCATGATTTTTATTTTAATTTTTGTGACATACGCCAAAAATGGTCGTATTACAGATTCATGAGCTTAGCCACTGCGTTGTGGGTCAGAACTGCTTCCGTGTCGAATACAAGCGCGGCCCCACTGTAGGTGGTGGAGTGTTCAGCAGAGGAGTCAAAATGAACGTAAGCCTGTTCATCCCTTTCCTAAATTTCTAAAATTTCCTTTTCTCAGTTATATGCATTTTGCAGGTGGATATTGTATCGTCACCACAGCAGGTGGTAGTAATGGCAGGCGAATCGCCTACATATGTCGTCCAATTCGTCTTGTTGGCAGGTGGGTGCAAGGACGAGAAACAGAAATTTTTTTTAGAGGAGTAGGGATTTGCTTCATATTTTCAGGACCGGTGCGAAGATTCAAACGCCTTGTCGAACATCTATCATCTATATTGCAAAGTTCTACGCAACAGCGGTAAGCAATTACATCATCCAGAACTTTCTGTTAATTTCTTACTTATTTTCACACATAATATACACATTGGACTGTTTATTTTGAACTCACCTAAGTATCAGGCTGGTATAATTTTTGCTATATTTTTCTTTCTATTTAATTTCAAAAAATTACACAAATTTGCTGGGATCTTCAAATTTGCTATATACGTAGAACAGTACATGCCTCAAATGCACTCATAGCCATCAAGTTTACGACCGTTTTACAAACGCACTTGAATTTTCAAATTTTTCTGTGATTATTTCTCTGCGTCTTCTTTTGCTCTTTTTTTCTACTATATTTTTTATGTGTAATGGACTATCTCTTCTATGGAAGGACCCCGATACCTCTGTCCCGCAAACGAAGAAGGACAGTATTCAAAAGTTTTCAATAATTCTTTCGGTACCTTGTGCCGAAATCTTACTATTGTAAGCCTAAATTCTATTTTTTGAAAAAAAATTTCTCGCCAAAATATCATTGAGCTCCAAAATGGTGCACCATCGATTTGGATGAAGGTGTGTAGCCACATTTTTACACAACTGCTCCATCCTTTTATGTTTTCCAGATACTAGGGACCATACATTATCCGATAACTACTTTGCCCTTCTTTCGCTCATCACCTGGAACGATGCCATTCCAATGACAAAATTGGTCACAAAATGGACATAAAGCGGTTGTTTTGCGTACGGACCGCGGTTATGATGGTACCAGTGGGTAGACCCTTGCACCACCCGTGTAACAATAATTATCCGTCAATCTTATACCTATACATACTAGCGTTATTTTTCCAACCGTTGCAAACCTTTTCTACTTACATATTTCTTTCCTTACTATGTTTCCGATAAGAAAGCATCGTATTGTCCTCAGGAATAACCAAAACTCTTTCATGTGGAACTTCTTACAACTCGTGCAAAATGCCGAGATCCGATTTTTGGAATTAAGCAACAATTTTAACAGGGTTGAAAATTGAAATATCCTCGTTGTTTTTGCGATAATAGCGTTTTGCAATGGTGAGGTTGGCTTCAGACGGCAAGATTGAACATTCACAAGAGTACTTCGAGATTCTACATCATAAGCTGGAAAAAACAGATCCATGATCGCAGAGCTGCAAAGTGACGAGGATTTTTCGGGGCTTGGGTCCTATTAGGCGGCTTGTGCTAAATCTAGCTCAAGATACTGTCTCTTGGAAAGCAAAATTTCGAGAAGTCTCGCGAAGAAGGAAAAGAAATGAATCACTTATTTTAGTGTCAGCATAGCTGACATCCAGCTGCCATCATACCTTCGATAGTCTAGAGACAGGGCGCCGAAAGTGAAGGTTGTTTGAACATCTGACGTCATAAATAGTGAAGGTTGTTTGAAGAAGATCAGAGAAGAAAAAATGACGTAAAATAGATATAAAAAGCAAGAGAAACTGCTGAAAACCAGATAAAAATGCTGCAATAAGGTTTGAAATCTTTCGTTTGGCGGCTTTCTAAAGTGCAAGTTTTCGCTTCAAGACCAGCAATTCGCAACGCGGGGTTTTGATTTTTGATGCGTCCTTTGAATTTTTACCCTCGCGTCGTCCCTCTTGTACCCTGCGACGTTGTCTGGATTCTTCCGCTCATCATTCTGAGCAAGTATCGTCCAAGCTGGAGAAAATTCGTTGCGAAACCACTGAAAAAGAATAAGGTAAAGAAAAACGCATTTTTTTGTAATTTTCACAAAAAAAAACCGGCATAAGCAAAGAAATAAGCTCGGCGACGTTGTCTACATTATAGACAGAAGCAAGACCTATCGACCACACAAAAAAACTGCATGAAAAGAGTCAAACTAGGAGAAAAACGAGAGATTTTCGAAAACAAGGTTTTTGCTGGATTTCTCGTTTAAATCATAAAAAGGAGTCTTGCGACGTTGTCAGCGTGAAAATATAGATGAAGAGCTTCAAAATGATATATAGCTTGCTAAAACTGGGTTCGAAACAGCAAAGAAAAGGGTACCAGAGCCAAATGCCCCGCGCCCCGCGTTTGGGGTAGCGAGGTAGCGCGCAGCGCGCGGAGACGCAGACGAGCAGCGGAGACAGACCAGAGCCGGCGGGGCATTTGGCTCTGGTCATTGATCTCCGCGGGGTCATAACAAAACCCTATAATATTATATATCGTTGTGATCCTCATGAGACGGCCAGGAGCACTGACAACGTCGCAGGTCTTGAAAATCAATCCGTAATGAGATAGACGAGCATTTATGTGGCGACTCTCTGCGAAAGAGTTCAGCGCAGTTTCTCGTTTTTACTGAATTCCAGCGGCTTTCATGAACCTCCAACTCCTCTTTTGAGCTCAATCGCAGTCTACAGAAAGGTTAATTGATAAGTTTTATCCTAATTTCTAACTGAATTTTTGAAGAAAAACCTTCTTTCCAGCAAAAAAAGGCCATAAAAACGCGATCCTTCGGTTTTTTGAGCTTTTTCTTGGATGTCACTACTATATTTGCCTCATTCACATTCATCCTTACATAGTTAGTCATTAGTTATGTCATAATATCCGGGCTTCGCCCCGGATGACTTCTGTATTTCTCTCCAGGTGAAGGTTGTGTCCTCTCATGACACTCAAAGTGAAGGTTACCAGAGTACGTGGCTCTATGTATCGAAGGTATGGCTGCCATCGTATCATTCTCGAAATCCATTCCGTACATTTAGTATTCTGTACTTCTTACATAAGTCCGAAATACGTCATGCATACATATATTAAGCCCTGTTCCATGTCATTTCGGTGTAGGCAAAACATCTTACGTCATTTCATTTGATGAAATCTGAATTTGGCGTGTTGGGGTAAATCGTATAGTAGCAAGAAAAGTAGCGTCAGACCTTATTCGTGGATTGGGAATGTTCAATAGTAGGTACATAAGTAAGCCAGTTAAGATGCTTTTCTGCTTTTATCTACGAAAACGATATCCAGCTGATCCATATGTCGCTCATGCCGAGCCCTGCCAAAAAAAATTCAAGTGCCCTCATCAAATACTAGAACTCATAGGCCAGAATCCTGCCCAGAATGCCTGTATCAAATTATTTCTTCAAGAAAAAGTTGATTTTGGTGGTGTAGCTATGAGGCAATAATTTGCAGAGCTGAACGAGCGCAGCAGGCGGCACTTATGGTCAGGCCTCGCAGGCTATCGGATTCCAGCGTCAGCAGCGCTTGCTCGGACACCGAAAGCAATGCCAGCATGAACATTCTAGGACGAACGGGAGTGAGTTATAATTGCTATTAGATATTATTGCTATTGAAAAGTCACTGGCTGTTTTGTCTGTGAATCTCAGTCCTGTTTTCGCCTTTTCCATGAATCCGAATCGGAACCCCTTATTGTTAGAGGCAGCATCCACTCATCTACGTCTTCCATGTTTTTATCATAGGCCTTTGCGTGGCCCTGATTACATACGAAGTGCAAAACCCCCAAAAATACCGATTGTGGGAGCCCTACCCTGAAGTTATAGACTACCTTAGTACTTGTGGGTGGGTGGAGCTCGATAGGGCGGGCGTGGCTTGTTAGCATTTTCGCGGGCTCCCGTCCATTTTTTTCCATTCAGAGGCCACATTACAGAATCGGACCAACGCAGATGTCCTACTACTACTAGGGCCTTCTTGTATACTAGATACTAATCAGAGAGGCATAGATTTTGCCTGGACGCTGCCTTCAACTTAATTTATTATGAAATCAAGTTTGATCCAAATGCAGATCTCGAATTGATTACAGGACAAGGAATCGGGTATATCGGTTGATCCTTACTCTCAGTCTCCATCGATGCGATCCGTAGGGAGTAGTACTTCAAATAATGGTGAGCTTATCTATGCATTGTTTTTGAACGGCACCACCAACCCAGAGAGCACTTAGTTTTTTTGCGGATGTTGATAGAAAATGTTATCAACGTAGGTCCAAGTACATTCACTTTAGCGTTTCACCCTATCCAGCCTTTTCGTTTTTTCGCAAAACATTGCTTGCAAAAGTTACGCCGTTCCTTTGTTCGACGCAGCTTTACAATCAAATTCACTGGTCTTTTTCATTTGTTTTGTATTCACATATTATTCAGAGAATCTCACTTACTCACCGTCTAGTTATGAATGTCTCAATCAGTACTGCAGTACTTATAAATGCCTGCTTTTCACACCTTTGAATTGCCAAACAGCTTTTGAAAATCCCGTATTCTGGGTTAATGGTGTCCAAGCAAGAGTCGCCTCAGTTGCCGCCCAACTCTCTTCTCATTCTATTACAACTGTATATTTTTCCTGAAATATACAGAGAGTTGGGTGCTGCAGATGAATTATTACTTCATAGCGCTCGTGACATTCTAATCTCCTTCAGGTTAACAACAATTCCGCTCAAGGTAACTGATGCTGTTTGCTTGCACGTTTTTTAATGCTATCTTAGATCGCTTGTTCTCTAGTGCTGTAATTATTATTTCGTCTTTTTCAGAGGAAAAGCTTTCGCTGACTTAGCTTGCCGTTTCTATATTTCACATTCATCTGCACGTAAATACGTCCATATCCATCTAAATCGACGCTGCTGGCATCAATCTCTCTAATAGCGCTTTAGTATTCGTTTGAAGAGTTACGTGTTGTAGGGTAGTGTGTTGCTGGAGGAACTTATGCTGCTTGACAGCTCCTCCTTAGTCGACAACTGATACCAATCATTGTATGCTGCCCGTGTCAGTTGTCCGCTACTGGGGGAGCCTAATAGTGGTACAAGCTCAACCACTCTTACTGCTTGAGGTTTAGCAAAATGTTATGGGTGTTAGATGTTTGAGTAATCTCAAGTAACTCATTGTGGTCAACGTGCGGTGAACCCCAATAACGTTAAAAATATCGTACGTGACGTACACATGTGCCCCAACTGGTTGAGTTTATTTCTCTTCTTATTTTATGAAATATCGAAAGCTGTGCAAAACCATTAAGGAATTTATTTGAATTCAAATACAGATCTGAAAGCCCTCAGCAAACTTCTCTACTTATTTCTATCTCTACTAACAACTTGTTCTCTATAGATCATTGATCTTTGCCAATCATGCATGTTTGAATTCTTTGGTTGCAGCTTCAGGTTTCAAATCGTCAACTGTGCAACGGAGGAATACAACCGCCCTTGTAGAGTCGAGCAGTGTTGCTGTAAATCGCTTTTCAACTCATCCTCCTTATGCGAACGATTCCAAAATCAGTGTGGCTGTGGCTAGACCAGAGCAGAGCTCACCAAAAGGGTAAGTACCACTAGTGCAGATCTACCAAGCAGTGTGTTATAAGTATGAGGTTGGAAAGAAAAGATTGACGGTCTTAATGACAAAGCGCAAAGACGAATACAAAAAAATATGTGGAGGGAGGGGGGGGGGGGCACCATTCGATAGGGCAAAAGAAGTTTAAGAGATGATCTAGAACCTTGACAGAACTCGTTATTTACGCAGTGATTAGACCCGAATTACATGATAATCTATTCTTATGGTTAGTCTATGAATAACTATGTGTTTTTGTTCGTTTGTAAGGAACGCCAAGAGCTACTGAATAAAATAAAAAATAAAATAAAATAAGAGCAACTCATGATGCCAAAAATCGAATTTTCGTCCACTCTTGCATGTAACAGACACATGCATTCATCTATATGGTACTCTTGCTACATTTTTTTCATGCTTAAAATAAAGAAAAATTGAGAATCGGAAAGGGGCAAACTTCGCTACCACTAGTCCTGGGCTCCTCACATATGTGTAGTTGTACACTATAATTTCGAAACTTTGACCATAATATTTTGGCCTTGATTACGCCAGTAATACCAATTTTGATTCTAAAAAAAACCAAAGGGTGACATTTCTTTCCAAACCAAACTTGAATTTTTGCCAGAAAATCAGCTACACTGCTTTTTTTTCTCATAACAAATAAATCTGCGCTATAGGAAACATAAAAGTTTAAATAGCATTGAATCGTTTGAATGTGCGGAAATAGAATTGTTGCTCCTTTTACTAAAAGTATACATTATAAGAATCGAACGCTGCAAAAGGGCCTACATCTATGTGCAACATCATCATCAACTTCAAGTTCTAAAAAAAGAGAGGTCTCAGATTTTTCAATGTATAAAATCTCAATATATCAATAATTTCATAAAGAGTTCATCAAACTATAAAATCAGCTTAACTACTGATGACCGCATAATTCGATTTTGTTATTGCAGTCCCGGTTCATATCATCAATCGAAGCTCATCGAATATCCTCCAAAACGTCCATCTAGCCAAAACTCGGCAAGAAATTTTTCGTTTTCCATTATAGGCAAGTCGGATAAAGTGTGATCTTCTTGATTGTTAATTTATTATGATCTCATTTACCAATGATCGACAAAGATTGATCTCTTTGTGTTCTCTCCCCTTTCCAAGCACCTTCACTTTACGATCTCGCATTGTTTGTTGTATTTGATACATTTGTGTACGCATTCAGCATAGCTAATACTAGTAATTATTCGATAGACTCAGCGCGTCGTGGAACTGAACTAAGGAATGCCTGACGCGTGTGCACGAGATGTTTCCTCTTTGGTTTTTTTTTGACTTCTATCATTCCTAATTTTCAACTTTCCAATCGCATTGTGCAGCTCCGCTTTGCTGTGTCATTTTTTGTGAGATTCGTCGTCGGGTTCCAGCACTTTGTTGTGTGCGTTTAACGCGCATTTACACAAAGTTATGTTTTGTTTCTGATTTTCAACGAACTCTTTCATTTCTGATGTCGCAAGAAAAATGTAGCAAATTTTTTCGATGTGGCTTTGAACTGTCATGGTCTCTCTAGTAAACGGTACTGTGCATAAACATTAGCACATTGAGGTTTTCGAATGAAGCTGTGCTTTTTGAGGACCGAGTGTGAGAAAGCGATTTACTCGAATCATTTTAAATCTCCGTTTCTGGAAAGGCAAGAATACTATTGATATGCTACAAATCAGACATGCAGTGTCTTCATTTTACCAGTAGGAATACTTGAGATTCCGTCCTTAGTCGAGAGACTTATAAATTATATCCGACCGTCACTTACTTCTCATTTTTAATATAAAGAAACATAAATAATCACTAAAGCTAGCATGTATAGATGCCATGATTTGGAAGAGTTACAGTAATCATTGTAGCAAGTGCACTTCAGTATTCGAACACCAAAAATTGATGACTGCTCGCACATATCCGCACCTTGAAAAGTATGAAATTAGTGAAAAATTTGATAAAGCTGAGGAATATAAGCACCACGATGACTGTACTGACCTCCAAAAGGAAGAATGGCACACCCACGGAACATTGAAATGATGCGTCTGTCCTGATCGTACCAGTTTCCCACTGAGATAGAAAAATCTTCATTGTTAAACACAGCGCTAGTCATGAGAGACACCTTACGTATACGGTGTTCCAAGAAATGTGCGCACTGGTTGATTTTTAACTTTCTTGCTCCAATGTCTTTTCCTTATCTTTTGGTACCATTTTCTAAAGCGCTGCATTTGGATTCGAGGTATGAAACAAATCTCCATCTCTCTTTGTTAGTGTGGGATTAGGGTGGGAAACATTAGAGAGGTTTCAAGCCATAACGAGTCGCGTTTGCCTCAGAAAAGAAACCAAACAAACCAAAAATTTCCATACTAGTTTAACCAATTGGTGATTTAGAATATGAAATTTGCACTACTAAGGCATGATTGTTCCATGAGTTATTCCAAGTGAACTGTAACAACTGCTTTTACGATTATTATTACAATATGTGGCACCCAAACAAATTAATCCATTCTTTCAACAACTGCCTTTTAGTTTTGAAAATAATATTACAATTGTGAAGTGTTGTTTGAAATCATCATGCGTGGCAACTCTTATACAGAATTTCCTAGATATTTTTTGGGATCTCATATATTGAACGGCTTATCTCGCAATAGCTCTGTATGCTGGACATTACCGTAATCCCACAGTGACGAGCAGGATCTGTAACTCGCTCTAGAGTGCAAATGTGAGTTAAAGAGGGCTATACAAAGTGGTACCTATAGGTCGGGAAAGACGTCAGAACAAAAAAGTTAACGATCAAAGAATGTGCACACTTCGGAACCTGTACCTGTAAGATTTCTCTGAAGGAGTTACGGATTCGAATGTCTGAGCTGATAGACCTTGTCCACTTTCGAATTTGAAAGCACAAGGCAAATGCTTCCGCTTTTGAAAAAACATTTTTTCATAAAAATTTCGTCTTGCACTGATTCAAGAAAAAGACTATAGCTCCATCAATCATAAACTTGAAACCGCTTTGGCTCTAGTGCTTCGCTTACTTCGGTCCACTCCTCCAGAATAAGCAGCGATTTTGACGCATCCGAAGAGTCCGTAGCGGCAGGAAGTGGCCGAATACTTGCAGTCCTGTCCTTGTGATGATGTGCACTCATAACAAGTTATGCAAAATACACGTGATACAATGGCAAGAAAACAGCAAAAGATTGAGTAGGAGCGGAGCATCAACTGGAAAACTCAAATAGCATTGAGATGAAGTTGTGAAAGCAACAAACCTCTCACTTCTAGCTGCTCGTGAGATGACACATCGAGCTATGAATGCTGCTTGTTTGATAACCGAGCCTGTAGCTATGGGTATAGTTGTAGCCGTTTGCTGGGCCTTTCCCATGCATCCCGAACCATGTTTGCTTGTGAGGCTTCCCCTTACGCATGTACATCGTACTATCTGCAAATAGAACAGGAAAAGAAGTTTACAGTGGAGCGTGAGGAAGATTTTGACATAGTGTGGATGAAGATCCAAAAGGTCAGCCGCATTGCTTTCAAAAAATCGTAACTTTTTAGGCCATAATCTTGCTGCATTAATATATTAGGTTGGCTCGAAAGTTCTTGCGTAATTCGAACAAAATTCAATAACTTTTCAATGACTAAACCTTAATTCACAATCTTGCTCTCTAAAAATGTTAGAAGGCCTGCGCTCCATGATGGATGTTTAAGCGCAAGATTTCATGAGCTAGCGCCCGAGAACGAAGCTCTCAAATATGGGACTTCAAAATTTGTAATTTTGAGTTTGGTGCCAGAAAATCGTAGAGTGCCGCTAGCTAGCCGAAAAAAATCTGTAAAAATTACTTACACTGCAGAAGTCTATAAGTTACTTTGAAAGGCTTTGATCTTGCACGGTGAAACAAAAAAATCGTGAAATAGTCATTTTGCGGAAAAAATCCACTCATTAACGCAGTTTTTCGGCAAAAACAATTTTTTACACTCCAAAAAACGTCGCAAGGTCCTAAATAGGCAATATGTCTTATTTCTGGTTGCAAACTGTGTTTTTGTGGAAGAATTGAATCGATAAGGGGATTTATCCTGTAAAATGACAAATTCCACAAATTTTTTGTTTTCGCATTTCCATGCGACATCGAAGCCTGCTAAGATAACATATGTGTTTCTGCAGTGTAAGTAATTTTTACAGATTTTTTTCGGCTAGCTAGCGGCACTCCGCGATTTTCTGGCACCAAACTCAAAATTACAAATTTTGAAGTCCCATATTTGAGAGCTTCGTTCTCGGGCGCTAGCTCATGAAATCTTGCGCTTAAACATCCATCATGGAGCGCAGGCCGTCTTATATTTTTAGAGAACAAGATTGTGAATTTAGGTTTAGCCATTGAAAAGTTATTGAATTTTGTTTGAATTACGCAAGAACTTTCGAGCCCTAATATTATTGAAAAGAGTAGATTATCATCCTCATGACACCTTGCTTGCTTTTTAGCACTAATTGCGGAAACAAATATGGAAGAAGGAGGTCACTCAGAGTTCGGTAGCTTTTAGCAGACTCGTAGAAAATTCAAAACTGAGCAATAAAATTAACAATCATAAATATAAGATTTCTTTCCTTTTTGTGATCGAGTAAATTGTGCTAATTAAGCTTTTCAATGGGAAGTCACGTTATTACTATATTTGAGAAAACAGCAAGAGAAATAGGTTTTTGACATTCTTCTTCAAAAACCTAACTTTTCATAGCGAAGCTCAATCAGCAGAAAGTCAACCCAATTGGAAAGCTGGAAATCTACTCGGTTAAACATCAGGGAACTTATGTTGACCGTTCTTATTGCACAGCTGTTAGATTGCTAGGTCTGCTTGAATTCACCCGACCTCAAGTGATTATCTTTTTCCATTTTTATCTCTACAATCAGAACTTAGTAGAGAGTATACAAGGCGTCATCAAAAGGTACATGATTTTTTTCAACTTTTGGATCAGCCTAATACATTTATACAATG